CAGTTGTTATTTTGTGAGATAGGTATTTTGTGGTGCCTTAACAGTTCTTTAGATTTCCAAACAAGTCTCCAAGCCTCTGAAGGTTGGAGATTGCTGGGTTAACTTACCTTAGGATTCAGGTCATTGTCATTATACCAGTTTAACTTATATAACTGTCCTGTCTTATCTATAGTCTGAAGAAGGCACTGACAATTTCCTCTTAGAGATACTTTCTCCACCCCCATAAAGGATTCATTGGAGAGATAATAATGGTTAAACCAACTGCCATCAAGCCAGAGAGCCAGTGTGGTGTAGTGGTTAAGAGTGGTAGACTCGTAATCTGGGGAACCGGGTTCTAATCTACGCTCCTCCACATGCAGCTGCTGGGTGACCTTGGGCTAGTCACACTTCTCTCTGAAGTCCCTCAGCCCCACTCACCTCACAGAGTGTTTGTTGTGGGGGAAGAAGGGAAAAGAGAATGTTAGCCGCTTTGAGACTCCTTTGGGTAGTGATAAAGCGGGATATCAAATCCAAACTCTTCTTCTTCTTCTTCTTGTCTGTGGGAAGAGCTGTGTGAAAGAACCAGCCCTGACCTAGACATTGATACCTGCTCAACTTCTGGGTCAGGTCTGGGATGCTTTGCGGGAAGGGTTGTTCTTGAGTCTTGAACATCTACATGTGGAAGCCCATATTATCTGACACTCTGCACTTCAGTCAATGTCTTGATGAAGCATGTTTGCAAGCCTCTGTGAACCTACTGACACCACCTAGAGAATGTTTATATTAAAAAACAGTATATAAACTTCAAATGAATAAACAAACCAGTCACTAGGAGAGCCCAGCTAGATCTTGTTTTCTTTTCCTAAAAGCAAACTTTGGGCTGGATTTGCATCAGAACCTTGGCACAGAAGAGGTGGTTTGAACCCTCCCTCACCACCCACCTGAGCCTCCCTATCCAACTCCTTATGTAAGAAAATAACATGTAGGGAGATCCAATAGCAGATCTCCCATGTTATGTCTGGTTTGGTCCTTAAGTCTATAAATTTGAATGAATTTGGAAAACTCATCAGTTTTAAAAGGGGAAATTCAGTATCTGATTCAAGTGAGCCCCAATTTTCCCCATGGATCTTATTTGAGATACACATGTATATACAAAACACAAAACATTGATGTGTGAGACATAATTATAATCCAGCATGTAATTCACATTTAGCATCGTAGCTGCCACGATGGTGGTGTTTTGGCATTCCTACATTCTTTTGCTTTAACCTTGTTGCCTTGGCTTATTTATCCCTGATCCTAAATCTCTGTGTGTATGTGTGTGGACACACACACACACGTGTCTGTACATGCACTGATTTCTCAGTCTACTTCGTGCATCCGGTTAAGTAGTCTCTTCCCCATGAAAGCGCATGCCACAGCAAATCAATTCATCTCCAAGTTGCCACTGCACTTTCTGCCTTTTTCGGTGCTCATGGAAAGTTTGCTTTGTACCTTTCTTTCTACCTCTGTGCTCCTGACGAAAACTGTTTATGGGCTGAAGGCAAGATGTGACATTTTCTTTTCAAAGTTCAGGGCCCAGAGGAGCACAGATGACTGTTTCCCTTTCTTAGCTTGCCCAATGCACAGTTAAGCTACATGTGCTTGTCAAATGAACACAGAGGGGTGCACCCTGATGTAGCCAATATTTAACTGAGGAAGCATATTGCTATTTTTTATTATTATTATTTTTTTAAAATGTGGACCGTTGCACACAGGTCATCATGCAAACATAATCACATTTGAAACATAGATCTATAGTTACATCCATTTGTACTTCCACCATGCCTAGAAGGTGGTATTTACTGCTCGGTGCTTAGAAAACTAAATGCCAAAAGGTTTCAAGAGCAGTGTAAACAGTCAATATAAACACAATTTGCATGTAATGACTGGATTCCTCTAACCTCAAGCGATGGGAAGATTATTTGTCAGATGCCTTTTTGTGAGAGACAAATTTCCAGAAACAAATAATTAGGTTTGTAACACTGCAGTCAGTGTGGCTTCTTATTGATTATGAAGCTAAAGCAAAGTTGCCCTCAAGGCTGTGTCAAGTGTTAACGGAATACTAGGTTTGAAAAGACAGATAAAACAATGTGAGATTTAGCCTGGTTGTTAGCCGGCTTTTATTTTGCTTGACAGAGCCTCTCTTCTTGTTAGAGTAACGAGACATGGCAATAGAGGCCTTCCTTTCAGGGCGCAGAATGGGAAGCAGTGTGTGTCTGTGTGTGTATAATGATATAGCCAGCTGCTCCTGAAACCATTGGCCATTAATATTTCCCCATTGAATGGATTGCCTGACAAAGTTTAAATGTTGTGTTTTTAAATTCCATTGAGGTTGTATTGTTAGTGCTTGATATGATTCCTTGGAAGAAAACTTTTTATGGTGTCAAAAGGATGCAGTGGAAATAACAAGAATGGGACAATACTTGGCCGCAGCAGAATTTAACAGGAGAAAAGATTGACACAGGAATCCAGACAAGGAGTAGAGAACAGGGGAAATGATTTGGAAAAGCACTGCACAGGTCAAGAGTCCATGGAATTAAGACAGTCTCTTAGGAATTAAATATAACATACGAGAAATCAGTTCTCTGAGTGCTGGTCCTTAGCTAGCCACAATGAAAATCACGAGGGGACGTTTTGATAGGGTTGGAGCATCTCCATGGTTTGTAGACCTTTTAAATGATACTATCTTACATTTGGCACTTTATTTTATTATATTATTGGACTGGTTAAAGGTGTGTTAATCTTGACATGAACTTGTATGACTGCTCTGTATAGTGTTGTGTTATATTCTTTTAAAAAATATTCTTATTACAAACCTGAAATAAAAACATTTTCTCCCAACAAGGGGAAAACTATATCTATCTAAAAACAGCCCAGCGGGCAAGTGATGCTGACTATTTCTAAGGGAAAACAGAGAGGTGCGAGGAAGAGATAATCGAACTTAAACATTCCATGCCACAAACATTCTGTTGCAGATCCCACTAGTTCAATACAACATCTTTAGCGATACAGTTGGGGTGTGGAGTGGGATTGCTGACTCCTCATCCTGACTCAGTGGTTTTGCAAGGTCAGTTTTGAAAGTTGTTCTAAAATAACAGGAGACTGAAGTGGTAGAATTGTGGGTGGTAGTATGTCAGGCTGCAGGTAGACCCTGTATTTTGAACCCTTCCCTGTGTAAAAAGCTTGCTGAATGCAGTGAACAGTGGCACCTAAACTATTTTGCTTCATGCCAGGAGAAACTAGTTTTCTAGATTTTGAAAGGGGGGAGCATTAAAAATGCAAACCTCTCCCAAACCTAATGGTGGCATCTTTATGCCATTTTAATGGAACCATGGAATGAATTGCACATCCACAATAAAGTGTGTGGTATTTGAGAACATTTGTAGAGTTATTAAGGGAAAATAAGTTTATCCCTACCGTGTTTTTAATTTTTCAAAGGGTTAATCAGACACACAAAACCAAAATACAGTGGTACCTTGGGTTACATATGCTTCAGGTTACATATGCTTCAGGTTACAGACTCCGCTAACCCAGAAATAGTACCTTGGGTTAAGAACTCTACTTCAGGATGAGAACAGAAATCGTGCTCCGGCAGCACAGCGGCAGCGGGAGGCCCCATTAGCTAAAGTGGTGCTTCAGGTTAAGAACAGTTTCAGGTTAAGAACGGACCTCCGGAATGAATTAAGTACTTAACCCGAAGTACCACTGTATTTCACAAATCAACAAACATTTTCATAATAATTGCTTTGCATTAGCCTTTCCTCAAAAAAGCTTTACAGCCATAGTTCCAGTAGATTAAAACTATGTTCTAATGTAGATAGAAGCAAATCTGCATTTGTAAATTAATATTAAATGTTCACAAAATGTTCACCTAAATAAGGTGAGGCTTAAAATTGACTACTTTGAAAACAGTAGTAATTCAGTGCTTGAATTGTTATGATTAATTTTGACTTAATTTCGGGGGATGCTAGAAAGTGTGATATGTTAAGGATGAATGAAACACACAGAAAGAACTCTGCTGGACACAAGCAAAATAATCTGATGATTATTCTAAGTTCACTTGTGTTGATCATAACCTGTTCTACAAGGGCCCAAGACATTATTCAAGGGAAATTTAGCAGTTAGGATCACATGTAGTCGCAGTTGGTACAGTCACAGTGCTTCCAAGTTTCAGTAACCAGATCAGCACCTTAGAGAGCTCCCAGTGAGCCAAACCTGGCAGAAGTTTCTTCCCTCATTGGATAACATGGGAAGATGTTAACACAGCAAGTTGTTGTTCTCCTTGGATTTTAATGGCATTTCCAGGCTATAACATTATTACTCCTCTATTCTAATTGTTCATAAATCCTACAACAAGGAGTTGGCTGGTTTTGTATTCTTAAGCTTTTGTGAAGCTGAGAAGAGGGGTTGTGCGGTTGGTAGCTCATCCTCTGACAATGTGGTTATGTATTTTGGCTGGGACAGTGCAAAAGAGGGTCCCAAAGGATCCCACTTTGAGACAACACCCCAAACCTTCTGCTTGTCTGCAACATCCCCCATGCCTTGTAAGAACCCAGAGCCAGGGGTTGTGACACACATAAATTACGGTACTATAATTTCTCAAAATTCCATTCAGGTTAGACCCTAAATTTTGTTGCACATTCTCAGGGCTGCAGAGTATTATATATATATTCTTAAAATTGCTTCACTTTATAATATAATTTCATCTGAAGCCACACTGCATCATGCTTTTTGTAGTTTTGAACTTCCTTTTCCTTTGACTCTGAATGGAGCAGAGGTCACTTGGGAGTAAACATTCAATATTTGAAGTGTATCTTAAGTGCAAAAATGTGGTGCTGTTGGGATGGACAAAATTATGGGATGGACTTGAGGCAAAGGACTGAAAATATTGCAATAAATATGACATGCTGGTAGCTCTTATATTGAAAATCCTAAATTACCAAAATCTTCCAGAATGAACATACAGAGTTTCTACTATGGATTTCAGTAAGGCTACATGAATTTCCAGGCCAGCATACTGATGCAGCCGTAGTATTTGAGTATGATTTTACTATTGATGGATTTTGGCTGTAGTCGTATTATTTGAAATTTAGTTTACAATTATAATATAAATATTGTGCAGGGAGAATAACAAAATGTTGCCATATTGTTCCACAGATATTGACCTCTGGATAATGAAATGATAACTTTGGAATGATTTCTATAGGTCCCTTACAAGAAAAAGAGAGTGAGATGTGAGTACAGTGGTACCTCGCAAGACAAATGCCTCGCAAGATGGAAAACTCGCAAGACGAAAGGGTTTTTGGTTTTTTGAGTTGCTTCGCAAGACGATTTTCCCTATGGGCTTGCTTCGCAAGATGGAAACGTCTTGCAAGTTTGTTTCCTTTTTCTTAAAACCGTTAATACAGTTGCGACTTGACTTCGAGGAGCAACTCATAGCATGCGGTGTGGTAGCCTTTTTTGAGGTTTTTGAAGACTTTGGTGATTTTTGAAGCTTTTCCAAAACTTTTCCGACACCGTGCTTTGCAAGACGAAAAAATCGCAAGACGAAAAAACTCACGGAACGAATTAATTTCGTCTTGCGAGGCACCACGGTAGCATCCAGGAGCTGATTGGCAGACCTTTGTCTTTTCTGTGAGCAGACATCTATTTTCTTCCTTCTCATTTAAAGATTCTAGTCATGACTGTGACTCAAAGCCTAATGATCTTGGAGATCTTGGCTGAACTGTGCCCATCAGAGGAGGCTGTTAACAGAAGTACTTTAAAATACTTCATCTATATTTCTTTTGTTTTAGCATCAAACGTTAAATGAACCACATCAAATAAGAACAAAATAGCACTTCTGCCCACTTAATGGGCTAACTGCAGTGCAAAGTGCCCAGGGCAGCATGCAGTTACGCTTCAAATACATCTTCACTCACTGATAAGATCCAGACCAGACTATAATGAAATTAACAGTGTATATCACTGGCCCTAGCACACATACACACTTCCTAAAGCATCAGATTAAAACAAGGGCAGTATCCAACTAAGTCCTACTTAGAGTAGACCATTGAAATTAACGTTCCTACATTAATCATACCCATAGATTTCAGTGAACCTTTTCAGATAATTATTGTCATGTGGGCAGGGGAGGGGGGAAGAGCTATTTTCCCTCAGACTTACAAACAAAACGAATGCACACTATGGAAGGAGAGTGGAGGGAAAAGGTAGAGGAGAGAGATCAATGTGAAAAGATCAGAATTTCAGCAGAAAGTTAAAGTATATGCCCTGACTGGAAATGAAGTTGTATGGCTGCCCCCAAAACCTTTGCAGGCACAAATAATAATAATAATAATAACAGTAATAATACATTTATTGTCATTGTACAACCTGTGTACAATGAAATAATATTGAAAGGGGGATTGTACATGACTGTCCTGATAGTATGCCTTGTGAGCACAGATAACCATGAATGCACAATAAAAAGGACACCCTTAATTCACATGGATACTTGTGAATAAACAGTTTGTCCAAATGTCCATGCATGTTCTGCTGTGGCAATGGAAACCTGTCCAAATTGACCTTTAGATGTTACCACAATGCAAGTATTAATAATATATCTGTGCACAAATAAGTACTCTCAGAAACAATTTCAACCATTTGTGCCTAAGGTACTGACAAGATCCCTTTTAATATATATTGGCTTTTTGTATCTGGTGGTGAGAATGTCAGCTCCTTGGAGGCAAGGAGGGCTTGAGAGACTAAGAAAGCCGACGATTTAAACTTGAGCAATGCTAAATAGCCATTGTCAACATGGACTGCAGTGAGATGGGGCAAAGAATAGCAGTCTACAGATCAGAAGGACTTTCATGTCACGATGTTCGCAGTACAGTATATTCTGTCACAAGCAAATTTGTTCCTCTCCATTCTATCTACAAAACATGTGGAAATACAACTGAAGGCTAATTCTGCTTTGATGTTCTATGAAAGCTCAATTCCTTTTTCTTCTGATGCAATATTTCTATTGATGTTTCATTAAAATGCATTAAAAATGTGATTCCCTATCACCAAAGCATTATCTACACAACTATTCATTTTTTGATGGACTAGGACTTCAAACACAAATGTAATTACACATATGTTTACAGCTAAACCTTCAACTTGAAATGCATGTCTGTCTCTGTCACTCTGGTCAGTTTTTGTACATAAGGAGGTTTCAGAAGGCATTTACATATCATGAGGAGAATTATTTTCTATCCCAGGAAAATATATTAATACACACTTTGATATGACTTCTTGCGTATTTTAAAAATGCCTTATTTATGCCTAATGCTTTACAGACCGAGTCTGACCCAAACATGCCATGATAGTTAAGCAATGCCTTTCAGTCTCTTTCATTCTCTCAAGAGCCAATGTGGGATTTAGGTTAGAGTGGTGGGCAAGGATCTGGACCTTGGGGCATTCATCACATCTCAGCCTAACCTAATTCACAGGATTGTTGTGAGAATAAAACGAGAAGATAGAACAACCATGCATGCTACCTTGAGCTTCTTGGAAGAATAAATTAAAAAGAAGTGACCAAAATGGTTAGATAGAAATGTAAAGGTAAAGGGACCCCTGACCATTAGGTTTAGTCGTGGACGACTCTGGGGTTGTGGTGCTTATCTTTCTTTACTGGCCAAGGAAGGCGATGTACAGCTTCTGGGTCATGTGGCCAGCATGACTAAGCCGCTTCTGGTGAACCAGAGCAGCACACGGAAACGTCGTTTACCTTCCCGCCGGAGCGGTACCTATTTATCTACTTGCACTTTGACATGCTTTCGAACTGCTGGGTTGGCAGGAGCAGGGACCAAGCAACGGGAGCTCACCCCGTCGCGGGGATTCGAACCACTGACCTTCTGATCGGCAAGTCCTAGGCTCTGTGGTTTAACCCACAGCGCCACCCGCGAAACATATAGAACACTAGAATAAGGACACTTATAGTCCACTACCTTCTGATGGCTAGAAAAATCTGCTCAAGTACTCTTTTCTTGAAACTCATTGTATGAAGTCTGCCTTCTAATGGAGACTTCATCACAGAGCAAACCAAGGCGTAGTTGGCACAAAAATGTTTGGCAATGGAAAATCTGACTTTATGAATTTAAAGCATTTTCAAATTCTGGATGAGAGATTTTTAGTAGCAGCCAAGAATGTAACTCTGCTTACAAAATGCAAATTGTATATTTACTAGTATGGTCATAGAAACACATTAGGTGGGATCCAGGCTAAGTTAGGTGAAGTTCCTACTGAAATCAGTAAGACTCCATGGCTAACTTGCCTGGATTCCAATGGGACCTAAATTCAGCTAATTTACTGACATTAATGGGATTTACTCTCAGAAAAGTGGACCCAGGCCTTAGTCTGGTTCCACCCCAGTGATCATAATCCATGCTATTTTTCTGTAAAAAGAGGTGCCAGAACTCCTCCCTTGTTCTCTTATCATCATCATCATGGCAATGGTGCTCACCTGAGAGGTGCTTAAACTGAGTTCCGCCAAGTTCCAGCTGAAGAAAAGCTCTGATCATAATTATTATCATAGGTATGCCAATGATAGTGATTATGTTCAAGCAAAGAATAGTGAACTATGTCTACCAATGGCCTGAGAGAATCGGCTGTGAGTCTTGCTGGACCTGCCCCCTTCCTTGTGCTACGTTACTTGTGTGGTGGACAAATTATCAAATCAGCTGTGGAACCTGCTGAAAGAGATTAGTCAAATGTTGACTTCTTTTAGAAATTAGAATTCAATTATTTGTTTGGAGGGGGAAGAATAACCATGAGATTCTCCTTTCCTCACTGCCATCTGAAAACTGTTCCTAAATATATTTTGTTGGGAGTAAAATCTGTATTTTTTCTTTATTATTTTACTTCCAAGGAATTATATGTAGGATTCGGCTGCAACCAGTACCCTGCAAGAGTCCTTGGGTAAGTGAATATATATAACGGTGTAGAAATAAACTGGCTAGCACATTTGCAAAGCTAAGCAGGGTCTGGTATGGTTTCAAATTGGATTGGAGACTGTGTGTTGAGATTCGGGGGTTGGGCTAGATGACCCTTGGATTCCCTTCTAGCTCTATGACTCAGTGCCTCCATATATATCCATTATAATTCAAGCTGATCCCTTATAAAGCATAATAATAATAATATATTATTTATACCCCACCCATCTGGCTGGGTTTCCCCAGCCACAATGAATGCCAACAGGGAAACATAGGAGTTTAATTTGTTGTTGTTGTTGCTGTTGTTGTTGTTTAAAAACTTATGCTATTTTAAAGGTCCCTGTGGTTTAACAAAGCTGCTAAAGGACCCATGCCGTTTCTAAATATTTACACATTTGTCTATAACAAAGGAAGGTGCATCTGCTATTAGCAGCAGCGTGGAGGAGGCGAGGAGTGTCAGTATCCTGTTCAATGAGTCCCAGCTGGAGACGCCAGAAAAACCCAGCTGGCTGAGTGAGTTCTTTACACATCGCGCCCCTAGTATTTATTCCTCGCCTCGCAGCTGCAACGGGGACCAAGTGCACGGCAGCAAGCGATGGTTTTGCTGCTTTCTTCCCGGACCTCCAAGCCAGGCGCTTGCCAAAGTCTGGCAGAGCCGCCTGAGTAGAGCATCCTCCGGGAGCTCCTTGCAAGCATTTGGTCCAAGGCAGCGGCGAGGTGACGCGGGGAGTAAAAGCGGGGGCTGGGTAGAGGTGGGGCTGGGAGAGACGCTTGAGTCGAGTTGGGTGCCTGCTTGGAACAAGCAGCGCCCCAGAGGAGTCTGTTGGGAGCGATAAGGATCTGGCGTGACGTCAGAGAGGAGTCTGGTAAGTGGAGCTGCCCAGAGGCGCTGGGAGCTCTTTCGAGTTCTGCTGGAGAGGACGAGGCAGCGTTTTGCTGAGGCGGAGGGCAGCGGGCAAGCAGCGGCGAGCTCGGGGGACCGCGGCTGGGGAAGCCTCGCCCGCCCAGGAGGGTAAGCGAAGCCCCTGGCGCGCGGGGAGGGAATTTAGGCGGGAAAAGGGAGCAGGCGAGAGAAAAGGCGGGAAAAAAGTGAGGGCGCGCCCAGAGGGAGAGGCGTGGGGTGGGTCTGGGAGTGGGGGGCGCTCACGTGGAGAAGTGAGGGGGGCGGGCAGGAAAAAGGGGTCACGAATGTGAGGTATACTTGGGAGGGAAACCTCGAGATTTAGGCCTTGCCATGCAGGGGTGGGGGGAAGCTGTGCCCATGGCTGGACTGGAACACCCATTTCCCTCGACATTTATTTATTCATTGCGCTTATATCCCACCTTTTTCTCCGAGGAGCTCAAGGTGGCGCACGTGGTTCTCTTCCTGCTTCAATCCCCACAACAACCCTGTGAGGCAGTGACTGACCCAGGTTCACGCTGTAACCATTACGCCACACATGCTGGATGGGGCGGCTGATGGGTTTTGGAGTCCAATAGCATCTGTAGGGCTGCAGCTGCCCCACCCCTGCTGTGTGGGATACTGAGATGGAGCAGGGAAAGTATCTAGTTGGGCAATGGGGGTGACAAAGTACTCAAATAAGTATTGGAAAAAGGGCAATAGAAGTGGTCTAGAAGCATTAATCCCAGTAACCTTGGTTGCTGTGGCTGGCTCAAAAATTTATGCTGGCACCTGTGGGTTATTAGCTTTGTAAATTGGCTGCTGTTTCTTGAAGTCCTTAAAGTAAGGGTGTTTCCACACTAAGGTCAGACCTGAAATTGGGCGAGAGTGCTTCTGAGCATGCACAAAGAACATTTGGCTCACTGCTGGACTTTCAATGCATCTAGGTTTAGGAAGCTGCTTGTAAGTTAGAGAGAGTGGCTTCCAAGCTGGTTTAATTGTTGGCAATTTTATTTCAGCACTTTGTAGGAGAGGACAGTGGAGGAAAACAGGGAGCACAAAGGTAGTGCTCTGAAAGTGCACACTGAGTTCACTTTGTGTCTTGTTGTGTAACACAAGCTGTTTTTTTGGACAGTGCCAAATATACATTCAGATTCCATTCTGATGAATGGAGATTTCAGTCATCTACTGTGCTCCCACTATATCGCTGGTTCAAAACTAAGGCTTTCTTAGTTAGCAGGACACACAGTAAATCCATGTAATGAACCTCTACCCAAATGCAATTGCAGAAAAAGAGCAACCAGTCTCTGGTGCAAAAACTGCTTTGTCAGTCAGAAGGGAGTGTAATTGTTGGTCAGCGAGAGTGTATAGTGGGGTTTACATGCATTTGGTAGTTCACACAATAATAGGCCTTGGTGTTAATAGCATCCTTACTTTGTGTCCTTTGTGTGAAGGACACTTCTCCAACCTGTTGAATCAGACATGATTGTTGAACTACAATTTGCCCTGTTTGCAGGTTAGAAAACAGGAGAGACATATTTTTTCTGAGAGGGGAATTTGAGAGATTGATCAAGGTGGTGCAGGAGTCTCGCTTTGAGGCAAATTTGCCCCTTCCCCATTGTGCTGAGTATCTTGTCCTCACAGCCCAACTTGCGGCAGTAATGTAGGGATCCCCAGTCTGGAGTTTCGACTAGGGTTTTGACCTAGTCAAATGTTAGTAATCCATTATTCCTGTCTGATATCCTGTTTGTTTATGGCCAAACTAGATTAAGCAGTGAAGAATTAGAATGTGAGCATTTTCTAATATGGGAATTGGAACAAAACATAATTCAGAGAGATGTGTTCAGTCCTCTTTGAATGTAGATTTTCTTTAAAAAATGTATATATTTGTAGCATTTGGAGTTCTAGATGTTTATGATTTGAAAGCTAAGCAGAAGATACATACTCACTGGATACTGCTGACCATTCATAGTGCTTTGAGAATATACTAAATGAAGCTGAAGTGCTTGATGTTCTTTGCCTTGGGAAATATGTGTAGAGGGATTAATTAATACAGAAGTGGAAATGAAACCTGCTGGCTAGAGATATCTTCCATTTATACCAGTTCAGTTAATGCTCATACTGTATTTGAATGCATCTTTATTGCCCTTATTTTAATATGTTTGGGTGCTGGTGCACTTCATTGCTAGTTCTATCTCCACCCTTCCCCACAACCCCTTTAAGTCCTACATAATTGGACTTGGCACAGTTTATTTTTTGGTAGTCAGTTTTATGAAAAGGGCAAGTGGCTTTTGTATAGTAAATTAGAATGGTAATGCTGAAACCAATGACGAGAGCTTGGCTGGAATTATCATTTGTTTTCATAGTGATCACAGGAAAGCATTGATTTACTTGGCTATTATAAGTAGGTCCCAAATGCAGAAGCGGCCTCATTGACCCCTCCCTATTATGCCCAGGAATGGAAGAGAAGCAAACATCTCTTACATTTCTGGTGGCAGATTGGAAATCATGTTCTTCCTTAAGAAGGTTGCCTTGAAAACAAAAGGGGATGAGGCATTTTAATTTGGGATTTGTATTAAAATATTATTTTTTATGTTTGTAGTATAAGCCATTACTCAAGGGAAACTAAACCATGGCTTGGAGGGAATTCGGTGTCCTCAGCTGGCTCAGAGAGAGTCGGCAATCCCGGAAACTAATCTTGTTGATTGTCTTCATTGCTCTGCTCTTGGACAACATGTTGCTTACTGTAGTTGGTACGTAGTTTTTTATTCTTTCCTCTTCTTTTTTTTAACAACCATTAAAGGAGGCTAAAATGCTACAATTGCTATGAAAGTGCAATTGATTTCTTTATAAACAAAGCTAGCCATTTGTTAGGACATATCGCTTAACCATTTCCAGTTACAATTATAATAGTATTGCTTCTGTGGATATCTGCAGGAACCGTCAAATAATGCTTTGAATAAAAAAATTATTCATAAGACAAAAATAGCAATGTAATTTTTTTAAAAAAATAATCTACAGTACTTTCCTTTGTGGTTTCACAAACCAAAATGACAGTGAGGATAGGACTTGAGATGCATGTTTCCTTTTGATAGGTTATTTTTCATCTTTGAGCTTATGGGACTATTTAGCTTTGCAAAGCTACAGCATTTAGTCATCATAGATTATGAATATGGACACAGATGGAATAAACTTGCACCACTGCTTGTATTTAATAAGAATTGGCCAGAGAAGTAAACACGACGCCCATATTAATGCAGGACATTATTTGACTTCAGCAAGGTATGATCAATACCAAAATACTGTTAGGTTGGCATTCAACCTAGTTTTACTCAGAGTAGACTTACTAATATTACTAAACCCATAGTGAAATCTTCTTAAACTGCCCCGCTCTTGTTTTTGCTGGTCAGCTTGTAGGGCCAAGTTTGAAGCAAGTGGTTACTATCTTGGAATAACACAAGTTTCCTGCTTTGACTCAGCCTGGTGAGCTAATTGCTCTGGGTTGTATGTGTATGCCATTACCAAGATGTTATCTTGTGTAATTAGGCGTCAAAAGGCGGGGAGGAATGCATTCACAGTGCTGTAAAGTGAGGAACCTGAGAAAGCAACATAAGAACATGATGCTTGCTGCAGTACATTGCTACCAAGATAAACCATTGTTTATCTTGCTGTCTGAATGTAGCCAATGAAAAGGCATGAAAAATTTCTTTCCATGGCATTGAATACTCAGTAGTGGACAGCATGGTGGGTAAGTTGCTTCTGCTTGCTGGGAGGCACTAGGTTCCAGGATGCTCCTTGGCAGAATGAAGGCTCTGTTTAAATATAGACCCAAGTGTTTTAATTGTTGTTGCAACCAGTTAATAAAGTGCTTAATCAGAAATTATGTGCTGTAGAAACTTTGAAGATTGCTTTATATTTGTCCTTTAAGTTGGCCTCTTTTCTCAGTGGTTTAAATCCACCATGCTCTATACACGATTTCTTCAGCATTTCAAAATATCGTGGAAGTCCATTTTACAAATTCCTTATTGCTGTGCAGTCTAGGTTTACCAAAATAAACTGAAATCCGTAAATTATAGAGCTGATGCTCTTCTGTCTTGTATCTCCCCCACTATAACACACACAAACACACATGAAACCTTGAGTGTCAACCTGGATTTAATTCTACTACCAAGTCATGTGTGTGATTGATGTTAAGGATATTTGCTTTTAAAAAATAATAATCTGACATCTATGGGGTTTCCCCCTAACTATAAACCTAGCTTCGCCTTCATTATTCAGACTGCCACTTCAACATAGTGAAATAATTTGGAATGGGACTGGCTTCAAAAATAGACTTTCCAAATGTTGCTAACCTTTGTAGTTGATTTATCATGTCTTCATTTTCCTGTCTCAGTTGTCTAGATTTCCTAGCTGTTCCAGTTTATACTCCTGCCTTCTCGGTGCTTTGCATCTTCCCCCTCTCCCTGCTTGAAAGCACCGTGTAACTGTTTGGGTAGTTATTTGAATAACACCCTTTTATGGCCGTTTGTGCTCTAACAGGAGCAATACAATGTGTCTGAGTGACACTCGGAAGTGTTTATTTTCCTGTGTGTTTGATGTTATATTCTTGCCAGAGTTGCTATTTTGTTCTGAAATTGAAAAACACCCTTTTGCAAATTTGTTGCTGTATCACTTGGCCTTTCACATCTCAACAGAAAGGTTTCCTAAATAAATATAATTGTTGCCACAGTAAATCGATCCAGACATCTGCAAGTCTTGATGCACGTAAATGACTGTTGATTTTGTCACTCATATTTCCTGATAAAACATGCTGCCTCACCTGCTTCTACTATTTTTAGTTCTCGTTTCCTTCCTTTCAATACAGTTAGGATGTAATGAGGATTTTAAATCGCATGCAGAAGTTTAATCTTACCTTTCAGAGTTTAGCTTTATCCTTCCTGCATTATATAAAAGGAACGAGGTACTAGTGGTGGTAAAGCCAATGTTACATGGGATTCTCCAGCTTTTTTATTGTCAGGAGCATGGGATCACGTAGGAGGCAGGGCCATGGCAAGTTGCTTCTCTGCCTCTTTGGTTACACTTTAAGTCTCTTTGAAATCAATAAAAAATAGCTGTGACTTAGCTCCCAGTGAAATCAGTGGGACTTAATTGCAAGTGCTGCATTTTAGTCTGTATATATCCTTTATTCTTTAACGTTCAAGCTTTGTGTAAAACAGTTTGAAGAATAAACAAACTTAATAATAAAATAAAGAACAATGAAAATAAAGAACTCTGATAAAAGGCCTGCAGAAGAGGAATATAGTGTTCCTGATAAAAGATACTGAATGAAACTTGTACTATAAGTACACAATGCTCTCTAGATGTTTACTACAACTGGCTGGGGCTGATGGGAATTGTAAATAAAACAATTCTTAGCATATTGGAACAATTATTGTGATGTGTTGAAGACAATAGCAGTTAGGTGACTTTCAGTATAAACATCTCTTGTTTATATTTTATTCCCCTACTCTTGTAATATTAGTGCTTCTTTTGCCTCAACAAATGAAATCTATATGAGACACAGAAGGACAATTCTTTTATGAAAGGGAAGTGTGTGCATTGCATGCGTCACTTTCATTCTTGATTTTAAATGATTGGAAGTTTATATTGTAATTCATTTCAAAAATACCACTGGAGTCTGTGGGGTATACAGGTTAAAACTGTTGATTTGTGTTAGAACTAAAAATCAGTTTAGGCATGGCTTCCACTCACAATTTTCCACAGCTGTTTGTGCATTCCCAAGCCCTATCCATTTAGAAATGGATTTGAGCATAATCCCACTTCTCTTTTCATCAAAACTTACCCCACTGTTATTTTGCAATAATGTATCGTCATGATGCTTATTTATATGCCACTGTTTCAAATTATACTCAAATCACAACAGTAAATAAAGAATAAATGTGTTCCATAAAAAGCAACATAAAAAGCAATATTAAATACATCTTTCAAAGTATTTTATACCCACATTATCAAACCAACAAAGAAATTCATCTTAATTACAGTATTATTATTAGCTACATATTTGCACTAAGGTGTCTCAAAGCAATTTACATAATAAAAATTGAAATACTAAATTTTCCTATTCATATGAAAAACATTTAAATCTGTTTCATCAACTATATGGGTCTTTCCCTTCTCCCTTGACCTGTCCTCTCATACATTTAGTACCTAATAGCTGGATTACTGGTTGCTGGTGCTCAAGTCTATCCAGAAGCCCTTCCCCCACAATCTTTGATAAATTGGCACTCTCTATTTGCCAAACAGAGTAAAAAAATTTCGGGAACTTTATAGTTTAGTTTCCTTGCATTTTAGAGAAATGAACTTTGCATTGAAAATGGATGCCATGCAGAACTTTGTTGAGCCTTGTTGCAAATTCTCCTGACCGCATGGAAAAGAGTAGGGGAGAGAGGTTGAATTTCCATCGTTTTAGAAAGTAGTGGCACCTATGTTTTCCCCAAAGATGGAAGTAAGATAGGAGGATGCCTAAGGTGTCAGTGTTTCAGTTTGCATGAGAACTTCCTGCACATTTTTTGTAAGGATCACAGCTTATGATTCAGTTATAACTTATGGACTCTTCCATGATTTCTGGCCATAAGTACTGTATAACCTGAAAGCTTACATAATCTTCTTGTAGTTTGATCCAGCAAAGTTATAACATTTATATGTGTTTTGATAGTGGTTATTTGTATATTTCCTTATATAATATTTGTTCTGTTTGCTTTTTCAGTGCCAATTATTCCCAGTTACTTGTACAGCATTACACACCAAAAAAATGCAACTGAAATCCAAACTATTAGGCCGGAGACATCTACATTAAGCCTGAATAGTTTTCAAAGTATCTTCTCCTATTATGACAACTCCACAATGATTACTGGAAATCATTCTGAAGGGACAAGACCAGGAGATTTTTATCACGCTCGGACAGAGCAAATGGTGGTAAATATGACTAAGGCATCACCACCCTCTGACTGCCCCAAGGAAGACAAAGACCTGCTAAATGAAAATGTCCAAGTTGGTTTGTTGTTTGCTTCCAAAGCAACTGTGCAGCTGCTTACTAACCCTTTTATAGGGCCAATGACAAATAGGTATGCTCTATCTCTTACGCACTAAAGTGGCATTTAATACTGATCTGCCAGTTTATATATCAGCATTTCTGAGAGAGGTTTGCCTTTTTCCTTTAATCATTTGCATTATGTGTATGTTTCCGTTGATTGCTCACATTAATGGATTGGTCTTACTAAAATATATATCTGAATAGTAAATCTCCTCCAAGCCTGCAATATTTTTTAAATAACAGGGGCTTCTATTGGTTATGTTAAATAATTTTAACATCTCCTTCCTTCTGTATTCTTTGAATAGCACTTGTTTATGAAGGCTTTTGTAGAAAGAATGAACCTCTTTTATACCAGGGTAAATACCAGCATGTGTGAAGTAGAAATACGTAACAGTGGTTGTTATACTTGTAAATTTTTTGAATATTTATTTTTGTCTTCAGAACTTTTCATACAACTACAAAATATGAAATTGTAAGATTGAAGAGCTTCTGAAGGTTTTGGATTTTTACATCTCAGAATAATATATATAATCTAAATCTAAATCTAAATCATGATGATGTTTGTAACCTATCCATCCGACTGGGTTTCCCTGGCCACTCTGAGCAGCTTCCAGCATATTCCAAAATGCAATAAAACAGTATCTCATACAAACAGGCCACCATCTTGCTTGGTTAATTAAAAACTAGTTGGAAGTCTGGGAGTGAGGGACCAAGACCCCCAATTTCAGCAGGTGCCAATGTCCTCAGCCTAGGGGAATTTGTATCACAGGTCACAGGCTGGTCAACTCAGTAGCAGAAATTGGTTGCAGGCTGTGCAGCTATCTATTCTGCTAAGGCCAATTGTGTTGCCACAGTAAGTTACTTTATGGATTCAGAGGCAATAGGCATGCTTGAGTGAGGAAAGCAGGTTTCGTTAAAGCACAAAAAGCATATAACTGAAGAATGCACACTTACCGTAAACAGTAAACAGACTAAATAAGGCATATTACTGATAGCTAAGCAGAGCTAAAAATCGTATCTCATAGCGTATCTCATGCCCTTTCTGCTGCTGGGGAAATCCTTGCACTCACAGAACATTCTCCATGTTGGATTCCACCTAGTGTCACAATCCTATGTTTCTGAACATCAAAGTCAAAAGCACAAAAAATAGGGGTAGAAGCAAAAGCTAACAACAATATTGTGATCCACTCCCACAGAGTGCTTAGCAATTGCTCCACCTACTGATTATGGTGGCATTTGCTGGTGATACATCCACATTAGCCATGCATGAAAGACACCAATAAACAAAGAGCAATGAGTGGAATTCCAGGATGATGTTCCACTCACACATACTATCATACACAATGCACAATCATGTTATGAAGAAAAGGCCGTAACATGTCTGTCAGAGCTTCAGTTGGCTCATTAATTAGGAGATCTGTATGTAATACCTTTATGGAACCATCATCTTCCTTTCCCAAGAAGGATTCAAGTCCTGATGCAATACCAAGGATCCCCACAAAGACAGCATGAAGAACATTGCATACATCACACATTTGTATTGGTATCCATGTGAAATTGTCCCGAAACAGAGAACACTAAAGATCTGGGATGAAAAGAACTATCAATCTGCCCTACTCCACTTTTCTTTTTGTTTTTTATACATACTACATTTAAAGCACATTCAAAGTGCATTCTTATCCTCAAATAATTCTGGGCACTGTTGTTTAAGTTGGTGGAAATGTAACTCATGGGGTCAGCTGCAATGCCCAGAATTATTTGACTGAAAATGTACTTTGAATGTGCTTCCCTGCTATAGTGTGTACACAACTTTAGTCTGGCAGCCAGATCCACAGAACATGTGGGGTTTGCTCATCATATGTATGCATGTTCTTCCATGTTGTGAAACTGTCCAGACTGTTGCTGATTGCAAATGGAAAAGGGCACATGGCTCTTGCACCATTTAATAGTTGTTTAGAAGATACAATTTCAACAGGTGTTGCTTGAATGACAAGCTGTGCCTGCCTCTACTCAACTTCCCTCTTCTACACAACTATTAAAGGTGAAGAAGTCCTATCTTCGCTTTCACCTGGCTACTCTATGTGCAGACTCTTGGAACATTGAATCTGTGTTTAATTTTTATAATACTATTCTACTTTTTAAATGTATCTTTGTAGAAGAGATTTCAAAATATTAAGCTGTTTAGAAGTGCTTTTAAGTAAATATGATGCAAGTGAAACAGATTGTTAGTGTTTCTGCAGATGGAAAATGTGTGATAGGTAAAGGTAAAGGGACCCCTGACTGTTAGGTCCAGTCGTGGACAACTCTGGGGTTGTGGTGCTCATCTCGCTTTACTGGCCAAGGGAGCCGGCATACATGTGGCCAGCATGACTAAGCCGCTTCTGGAAAACCAGAGCAGTGCACAGAAACGGCGTTTACCTTCCTGCCGGAGCAGTACCTATTTATCTACTTGCACTTTGACGTGCTTTCGAACTGCTAGGTTGGGAGGAGCAGGGACTGAACAATGAGCGCTCACCCCGTTGCGGTGATTCGAACCGCCAACCTTCTGATCAGCAAGCCCTAGGCTCTGTGGTTTAGACCACAGCGCCACCCGCATATGATAGGTGTATCACAGATAGAGTTTTGGAACAATGTGATATCTGAGCGGCAAAGCTGGCTTTCACTTATAGACCACTTGGAGGATTGTATCGTGTAACAGCTGTGCAGCTAACTGTGCACAAATAATAGAACTGTGCTATTACCATGTGCTAATACCATGTGGTATTATAAAGTAGAATTAGACACTTGTTGCAAGTATATTATTTTTCCACATTATTTCATTGCAAGAAAATAAATCTATAAATGGTTTAACGTTTAAACCATTCTTTTTAATGTACATTCTCATTACCAGTCAGTTCTGTGATACTGGATCCATCTTTTCACACAGTCTTGGCAATTTATACATACATTGCTAGTCACTGCCTGCTTTCTATCAGCCTAACAATGCACACTTTTCTGGAGATCAGTACTTTCTTTTAGCTGGAGACATACCTTTTTAAAGATGTTGGATTCTGAGCTGCTCCACTTTTGCCCCTCCTGAACGACAAACTAAGCATTGTATCAGAGCATTATGAAGAGAAATGTGCTGATCCAAAGCCTCCAATCTACCAGAATAATTGGTGGCTTAGAGTGGAAGTAGCCATTGCCCAAAGCAGATGCTGCCAAGAAATTAACCAAGCCAGCGTGGTGCACTGGTTAATGTGTTGGACTAGGCCTTGGGAGATCACCGTTCATATCCTAGCTCAGCCATAAAGCTTACTGGGTGACCTTAGTCCTGTCATAGGGTTGCTGTGAGGATGAAAGGTACATCATATAGAGCATCTTAGAGGAAAGTTGGGATATAAATTTAATATAATAGATAAAATGAAATCTAAACATAATTTTCTGCCTCTTGCTCCACAATATATGACAGTTGTGGTTGGCATGGTGGGGCAGAGATACTTACCTGATCTAGACGGTAACTTGCTGCTGCTTGCCAGGCAAGGTTGGCACAGTGCAAATGCACCAGCAGAGTCAATTTGGTGCTCCTGCTGGTGCATTTGTACTGCAACGCCCTTCTCAGTGCCTTATCCCACCCCGCCTCTCCTAGTAAGCAGTGGTGACTTGCCTGCTGGGAGATCAGGTAAGTGCCTCTACCCCTTGACTCTATCTGCTAGAAATGTGTTGATAACTGCCCTGTTGATAACTAGTGGCATTTAGGACTTAGTGAATGGTCCAATAGCACCTGATGCTTTAGTATTTGTTACAGCTAAATAGTAAGGCCCAATGGAGAGACCACAGAGAGGTCCATGTAACTGAATTTTCTAAAGCAGCTTTCTAGTGAAATAAGTCTTTTAAAGTATGTTAAGATGCAGGAAAGCATAAACAGCAAGCCAAAATATTGTGTTGGTTTTGTTTTCCAGAATAGGCTATCAGATTCCCATGTTTGCTGGCTTCTGCATCATGTTTGTCTCAACAATTAGTAAGTGCATTTCCTCCCCTGCCCATGTCACCAAAAATTATTATATTATATTATATTGGAGATGGAGGGGTGGACGGATAGGAAATACACAAATGGGAAGACTAGTTTAAAGCATGCATGAGTGTACTGAGGAACTTCCCTGCTTATATTGTTCCATAACAGTATAGTATGGACGTGATCATTCCTTGCTTCAATTTGGGTGGTGTTGCTTGGTGCCTAAAATATTTGCTTTTCTTGTCCAGTCCAAAATGTTGAATCAGCAGCACTATTTACAACCTAACATAGTCAGTGGGAAGAGAAGGCTGGCATTTCCACTTTGCCCGCCTTCCTTTGCTAGTTTACAAGCAGCTGCAGAATAATTAAAGAGGAAACTCTATGCTCTTCTGCTCATCCATCTGAATGTTTCCTTGTGCTGTATCCATGTTCTTATGGAGGTTTGACATTAGCTTGGCTCTTCCTGTGCTATTTTCAGCAAAGCACTTCTGCCAGCAAGTGTGAACTGTATCTGGTTTGGGACACTTCCTGTGGTGTTTTTTTATGGTAAATGCATTGTGAAATGCCTTTACAAGATCCTGGATCAATCTAGTTCAGTTTAATACAGTTGTGTTGGTGTGTTCTGTCTTTTCCACAGTGTTTGCCTTTTCAGAAAGCTATAAGTTACTATTTATAGCAAGATCTCTTCAAGGAGTCGGATCTTCTTGTTCTTCTGTAGCTGGTAGGTATTCATATGCACTTAATGATATAGATTGGTGGTTGCTAGATCTGTCATTTTGAGCAATCAACATATTCTTGACTGTCGTGTTAGCTAAGTATTTCTTTAGTGAAAATAATTTTTACTTTCATTTACTTCCTCTATTTAATCAGATAAATTTTGTCCATCTAGCTTTTTGCTGTTTACAGATAAGCTGAAATGGTCTAATGACCCCATTATTGTTGCTTTTTAAAAGAATTATTGCATAATTTTGTTTTGCTTTAAAAGTTTTAAAATTCAGTTTTATAGGTCAGATGATATTAATATATTCTGTGTGAGGTAGGATACGTTTTACTGCAGGTCTTCTTGGCTCTTGGGATTCCTTTTCCTTCTCATTTGGGTGTTCTATTTTCAACAAGCTTGCTAAGTTTAGCTTTTTTTGTGAACAAATGAAGCATGTTCTTGTGCTTCATATGTACCTTGCTATTCATATCACTGTGTGATTTCCTGTCTGATTTTCACACTGAGAAAAATCATCAGTACTGACTTGTCCTTTTTCGTTTACTGCTTATGCAGGTATGGGTATGCTGGCCAGTGTGTATACTGATGATGAAGAAAGAGGCAATGCAATGGGGATTGCCTTGGGAGGCATGGCTATGGGGGTATTAGGTTAGTATGAGGAAATTCATTGAAAAAGAATGTGTGCCCCCCCCCCAAGTTCTATCTCTTTCATACACTGATGCCTTTATGTACCTACACTGCAATAAATGCATGATTTAAAATGCTCTAATCAACAGCGGCTAATGGGGGTGGTGTTGGTGGAGGAGGCAGTCCCCATCCCAGCAGGGGTAGTGCTGCTGCCATCAGGACACCACTGCCTTTGCCTTCTTGTGAGCGACTGCTGTTTCTAGTAAATTAGTATGAGTTTCCATATTGGTACAGATTGGAGAAGATATACCTGAGGCGCTGTGTAATCTTAATTATTTCTGCTGTATATCATTTAATTGAGTCATTTGCCTCAGGATTGTTCCTTTCTGCTAAGTGTCAAATATTTCAGTTATTAATATACAGGTATCTCTTTGCCCTCCCTCTGTTTCATAAAGTCATTTTAGTGACATAGCTAAAATATGCTAGAACAAGATCTGCTTGTTCAGTGCCACTTCCCCTCTCTCCTGTGCCTCTGGAGGAGGGTTGTGTGAACTCCCAAAACAGGTTTGGTGGAGGGGGACGGAATACAGTTGTATCTTGGTCGTTGAACGCTCTGGAACTCGGACATTTTGGCTCTCGAACGATCAAAATCCTGAAGTGACTGTTCCAGTTTTCAAATGTTCTTTTGGAAGCCGAATGTACGACAGGGCTTCCACGGCTTCTGATTGGTTGCAGGAGCTTCCTGCAGCCAATCAGAAGCCACGCTTTGGAAGTTGAACGGACTTCCGGAATGGATTCCATTTGACTTCCAAGGTACAACTGTAGTCCTGTTGCATGAGTGGACCTCATTCATTGTGTATATACCCCACTTAGAACTATGTTGAATTCCACCCTAAGAAATGTGAAATGACTTTTTTTTGGTAGTGGGACCGCCTTTTGGAAGTGTAATGTATGAATTTGTTGGGAAGACAGCACCTTTCCTGGTGTTAGCAGCATTGGCTCTTTTAGATGGTGGTAAGTAAAATTCCCATATCTATGACATGACCAATAGCTTTGAATTGTGACATTGTCACCTACTTTTATTTTTGAAAAATACCCCAACATTATGATTTCTTTTCCTGCAGCAATACAATTGCTAATTCTGCAACCATCCAGGATACAACCAGAAGTAAGTAGTTCAACAATTGGTTTTTTTTTTATTGCTTGTATTACACTTTCCCTAAAACTGAGGTTATTTATCTGTTGATAGAGTCAGAAAGGAGCATCGCTGCTGACACTCTTGAGGGATCCATACATCATAATTGCTGCAGGTATTTGCAGTTATTGCACACTTGCATTTATTTGTTGTGGTCATTTCTGATCTGTATTTGGTAGTCTGTGGGAAGGATCACTTAGTCCAACTAAGGAAGGATCACTTGAGCTCCACGCACCAGCATGCAGCTTGTGCACATTATGGTTAAAACTATAATGTGAACAAACAGCCAGTGTTGTTTTCAGGTATTCAGTTGTGATAGAAGGACAAATCTACTACCTTGTGCTCATAGACATGAGTTTTTCAGGTGGAGATTATAGTGGAAAGATTACATTAGACATAACATTTTATCTTTGTAAGAACAGCACTGAACTATTGCTTCTTGCCCTCAGGATCACAGCACTAGTGAGACCACAATATTGTTTTAGGGATTCTTCATACAGAGTCTAATGCAACTTGGCATATTTGAACAAAGAATGACAGCAGTGGTCATTTTTTTGCTGAACTGTGTTACAAGAGGAGAGCCTTTTCCTAGGAGAAATAATTTATCTGTGATTTAAAACAAATTAGACTTGAATTTTAAAGATAACAAGCTCCTTTAGCTGTAAATGGCTGCAGCATGAATCTGTTGTATTTTTTTAATTGTGATTGAAAGGGTATAAACATGTTTTGAAGGTACATTCAGCACTGAATGTGCTGTTCGACAAAGTGGAGTGGCAGTTTGTAGATTCAGGGCTTCTTTACATAAGACAAACATCCTAGATTTCCAGGTAGGAAAAATTGCATGAACATAGTGTGTGCATGATGATTCCACACTGCCTGCTTTGTCACATGTACATACCTGTATTGTAATCCAGAATGATGGGGCATTAGTATGATATATTGCTATGGCAAAATAAACCCATGTGTGTTTTGTTGCACACGGCATAGTACATCAAGAATATATCAAATAGTCCAAAGTTGAAATTCAGATATGTATTGACAAATGCTGTTTAGCCCATGTCCCTTACATGGAATATCACATTTTCTTTTGACTATATTAGATGCACTCAATATATTGGGACATTGTCCTGTTAAACATTTGATTAGCTGGGATCTGGCATCCTGTTAAATTAGTGGTGACCATTTCATCACAGGCTAAGCAGCAGAGAGTAAGGCAGCCCTCATATATGCATCATCATATATATAGAATTGGTGTGATCTTTGTCAGCTTTTTATCATGAAGAATAATCCTTAATTAAGATTAATTTGGGTGTGTACTTACAGTACTGACAATGGAGTCCTATTCATGTTTTCTGTGGAAGTAAGTCCTCCTGTCTTGAATATGGTTTACTCCCTAGTAAGTATGTTTAGGACTGCATCCTGAATCTGCTTATGTTTTGCACGCATGCAAGTTCATAATATACCATATAGTGAATGTCATCCACAAGTATATGCACATGTACCAAAGTGTGCATTTGAATCCACTCTTAGTTCTCATTAGCTTTATCTCTCCAGGCAACAATTCTATTTTATTACAAGTGATCAATTCGCTGGAGCCTGTCTTTGCATGCAGGGGAAGTCCTTAACTGCCAGATGTATCACTATGCTTTCCTTTGGACCACATTAGTGAGGCTGAGAGGGGGGTATTGTCATCTGGGCAGCCCAGGACCTCCATACACACTGCCCAGACTTGCACCTTGGGAAGGTCACTTTGGTCTGACTTCACCCACTGGAGGTGCACTCCATTGTCTCTTGAGACAAATGGATGCCAACAAGTGATCAACGCTTCAGTTCCCATAGGGATGAAAGGGACAAAAGGCAATTCAACTAACTAAATGTTCTGGTGGATGGATTAATGTTAGCACAATGAGACTTTCCCCCCTTATCAACCTCAAATCTGCTCCAGAGAGTTGGTGGGACCCCAATAACAGATTTAGGAGACGCATGAGGGGGAGCATGTTCCATTGCAAATGAGCTGACAAAAAGTTCACATTAGTACTACATTGAATACAACTGAAAGTCTTCGGTGTTCTTCTTTTATTCTGCTTCAAGTACCTGAGGAATAGGTTTTTAACAAATCTGTGTCCAACAAAGTAAACTGTTTCTGAACAAAATTAGAAGTATATTTTCAGATTAATTGTTTTGTTACAACCGGAGCATGTGAACCAGGTGCAATAGAATTATTGGCAAATCTCCTATTGATAACTGTGTTGCTCCTACTAGAGTTCACTTTCACAGTATCATCACATACTGAAATATTTTGTCTGTCTATTCTGAAATGCAATGAAAATAGGGAAATCTTTTGGGTGTTTTTTTTTTGGGGGGGGAGGGAATAACGGGACTATATATGAAATTACAGATTAAATGACTTTCCTCCCACACTAGTAATTTAGAAGTAATCAGTGTTGTATTATTTGACAAGCAAGTCTTCAAAAGACGTTTTGTTTCTGTAAGTGTTGCTTTTTCGAGCTGTTGATTGGAATTTAAGTGAAACAATTCCAGCAATTTGTTTTCCATCTCTTTTCAAGGATCAATATGTTTTTCAAATATGGCAATTGCTATGCTGGAACCAGCTTTGCCCATCTGGATGATGGAGACAATGTGTTCAAGAAAATGGCAACTCGGTAAAGTGTTTTCTTTCATTTATTGTATTTCTGATCCTGAGAATGTTTGTGATTGCCATCTCAGATCATATGACAAATGGTAACATTTTTTAAAAAACGTGTCTCTAGAGTCTAGACAATTGAGTGAATACTGTAGATTGCTGGTATGCCATTATATAGTTTATATTGCACATAATCAAGGGACACTTTGGTACCTATTTATTGGGGAGGCAGTGGAAGACAGGAGTGCCTGGCGTGCTCTGGTCCATGGGGTCATGAAGAGTCGGACATAACTAAATGACTAAACAACAACAATATCCTGATTTCAATGAGAGGTTATATGCTGCTGTCATTGAGCATTCATTTTGGTTGGTTTGTTATGCATTGTTGCATCAAGCAATTGTTAACCTACACAAATATCTGTGTGTCTTTCTCCCTTCCTTTCCCCAAGTAACTCCTTTACATTCCACCTGTTTTTCAGCACACCCCACCCCTGGTTGTGTCAGCTTTCTATGTGCACTGAGCATGTTCATTCTTCATTGGGCTGGTTTATTCCCCTTCCCTACTTTAGTGTTTGTTCCAAAGTTTTTTGGGGGGGTTTTTTTGTACTTCTGTAGATCTCTAGATATCCTGTTCTTGTGCATGAGTGATATGGTTTTGGCTACAGAAAGGTGAACCGCTGAAGTCTTTTGAGTTTGGTGTTGGTATATATGGTATTTTACATTTATCATAACCCAAGTTCAGTATAGGAAAAGAGAATATGCATGATCAAAGTTATTACATATGTATCCTGTCTTTTCTCCAAGAAGCTCAGGGCAATGTGTTGGGAGTTTTACCCATTTCATCCTTATAAGTAACCTGCTGTTTTCTGGGGGTGAGGAAGGAGAGGGGCTGAGCCTCACTGCCATTACATGATGACATGGGACCTCATTGCTGTCCCACCTCCAGGCTGTCAGATGCTTGCCTGCCTTCTGCCCCCTCCCCTTCACTCTGGCTGGCATGAGCAGCAGGGCTGCAGATGCAATTTGTCCCCTCTGTTTGAATAAATTCTGCCCCGTCCAGGTCTGGATTGCAATACTCTTAATCTTAATTCATCTCCTTTTAACACAGTTTATTATTGTGTTTAATTTGGAAGCTACCTTTCTTTTGTTTTATACACACACACACACTACTTCACTTATGCACAGATACTGGTGTCCGATAGCAAGTATTATTTTTTAAATATAACAATGGTCTAAATTTGATGGATAATCTTGCTAGATCAAACAAAAGGCTTGAAACAAACCGGATATTAATTTTTTTTTGGTTCAGGCTGAAGACCTTCATTAGATATGTTCTAATCAAAACTGCTGTGTCTGAACTTATTGCTTTTTCCCAATGCTTCACAGAAACCAGTGTTGATAAGATAACCCGTTCATATTTTTCAGGCGTTGCTTTTATTCCTGCCAGTGTCTCTTATCTGATTGGAACTAATATTTTTGGGGTCCTTGCACACAAAATGGGACGGTATGCTGAATTTAAACATTATCTAATTCCTTAACACAGTTGTACAGTATTTTCTATTCTTTCAGTGTTCCTTCAGGTAGCTGCATTATGAGAAACAAACTGCAGCTTTCATGATAAATAAATTAACCTGCTGCTTTATTTTAAAGTTAATATTTTAGTAGTAATTGTAGTAGAAATGCTGAAGTAAAACACATGTTTAGTGCCTATGTTTCTTGGTGTCTAAAAGATAATGTTTCTTCTTTCATAGGTGGCTTTGTGCTCTAATTGGGATGGTAATAGTGGGAATAAGCATTTTGTGTGTGAGTAAAAGTTGATACTTTGAAGAGCAAATTCTGTTATTTCTATAATTTCTATAATTTACTGATGGTTCTATCCTTTTGGTGTGGGTATTTGTAGATGTAAATTGGGGGAGGGTATTTGGGATTCAGTGATGACACTAACTTTCTTCAATCTTAATTTGAATGTAATCCCCTGAAGGGTGCTATAGCATTCATACTTTTTTGGTTTCATGCATGAGAATATGGAAGAGAGCTGCAGGAAGATTCTATTATATTTGTTTTTTTATCTGGGCTGTCTTTATTTGTAGTTGCACACAGTCTCCTCATTTACAGCAGCGTCACTATGGCTGATTAGCTTCTTTTAACTTGAACCTAAACTGTTATGGGTTATTAGATGTTTCATGTTTAATGCTAGTAGGGAGCAATCATATGCTGCTTGGGAGGACAGCTGAAGGGCCCTAATGAACTGTGGACCTCTGTGGGTGGGTGGAATGAATGGTGTGGCATGATGTCCCTGGTGTGACAGGAAAAAGCTGCCAGTGGTAGGGCCAGGATCAGGACACGTTTGGGGAGTGCCAGGTGAGGCTGTGAATCTTCATGATCCAATTCCCTCGTTTCCCCAAAATCCCACTTTTAAAAGGCTCGAGCTGGAGCTGGCATAGTTAATTCCCTTTCATTGCCCATAATATGAAGAGTGCAGGAAAAGGATACCCTGGCCACTGCACCCTTCTCCTTGCACCCTGCCCTTTGATCGCTGTATGTCAGAACTTACTGACTACAGAGCATAATATTAACAACATTTTTTTATTTATGCCCCACCCATCTGGCTGGGTTTCCCCAGCCACTTTGGACGGCTTACAGAATCTATAAAACATAATAAAGCATCAAACATTAAAAACTTCCCTATACAGGGCTGCCTTCAGGTGTCTTCTAAAAGTTGTATAGTTCTGTTATCTCCTTGACACCTGAAGGGAGGGTGTTCCACAGGGAGGGTGCCACTAACGAGAAGGCCCTCTGCCTGGTTCCCTGTAACTTTGCTTCTCACAGTGAGGGAACCAGCAGAAGACCCTTCAGTGTCTGGGCTGAGCGATGGGGGTGGAGATGCTCCTTTGGGTATACTGGACCGAGGCCGTTTAGGGCTTTAAAAGTTAGCTCCAACACTTTGAATTGTGCTCGAAAACGCACTGGGAGCCAATGAAGATCCTTTAGGACCCGTGTTATATGGTCCTGGTGGCTACTCCCAGTCACCAGTCTAGCTGCCGCATTCTGGATTAGTTGTAATTTCTGAGTCACCTTCAAAGGTAGCCCCATGTAGAGCACATTGCAGTAGTCCAAGTGGGAGATAACCAGAGCATGCACTACTCTGGCAAGACAGTCTGTGGGTAAGTAGGGTCTCAGCCAGTATATGAGGAGGAGCTGGTAGACAGCTGCCCTGGATATAAGATCGTGATTAGGGATCCCCTCAGTATTTGAAGACTTAGTGAGCTACTGGTATGTGAAGAGTTTTCATGAGGGTAAGCAAGAGAGATTGCAAATATAATTGTTCAGTGAAAGCAGTTCAATAAACATTAGCAGAAATCTAATAGATCAGAAAGCTAATAGATCAGATGAAAGAAACACTCACCAGTAATTAAATGAAGGTCATATGATACAATCTAGTAAGCAGCTTGATGTTTGATTTTGAATGTTTGCTTTTCTTTTTTCAGGTGCCACTTGCTAGAAATATATATGGACTCATAGCACCAAATTTTGGGGTTGGTTTTGCCATTGGTAAGGAAAACACAAAATACTTGTTTCTGTTTTTTGATGTATTCTATTTTTTTTGTGAGTTGCTCAGAGAATGTATGTTATTGAGTGGCATATACTGTACAAATACTAAGTAAGTGAAACTGTAGCTGGGAATTTGATTTACTGGTTGAAAGTATGACTTCAAAGTTATATACAGGATCACATTTGAATGTTATCTTAATAGACATGGGCATAGCCAATGGGGGCAGGGGGGCAGCTGCCCCCCTAGATCAAGTAAAACAATAGAAATAACTAACCAATCACATCGGTTCTGCTCCCCAACAAAGACCTCCCCTCCCCCACAAAAATCCTGGCTCCACCCATGCTAATAGGGTTAAAAACAATCTGCACTTTAATATATTTGTTAATAGATAGGACTCGGTTTAGATTTCTCTAGATGGGGTGAATGTCCACCTGTGTGATAACTGGGGAGGAGTAGTCCTGCCAGGTGTGCATTCATGTTATCGCATTTCAAGTAAGGGCTGGTGCATATGCACCAGGCTAGTGACTGATAGGAAAAGGGAAGGAAGGGGAAAGTGCTCTGTTAACTTATGGGGATTGCCTCCCATGCTCTGCTGTGTTCTAGATTTTAATGATTATGTTGCAGCATGTCACTCTAAACAGTAAGTAGACTTTCATGTGTGGCTTTGCTTACCAAACTCCGTATGGATATGCTTAAAAAATCAAGAAAAGCTCTCTAGACTGTGGATGTGTTGATCCTTTCTGAATTAGGCCTGCTTATGTGCATTTCCTAAGAGATGATTGCTTTTGGGGGGATGGTGGCTCTGAATCCAGAACCCTTCCCAGCTTCCACTGCTAATGGGTGATCAGCACTGCCACTCACAGCAGTGGGTGTGGCCCACAGCTACAGGTGAATAATTCTGGCTTGGGCTTTAGCTTCTGGGGGGGGAGGTCAGAAAACTTAAAATTCTTTGTAATTTATATGACATAAATTTTCAATTTTTAAAATGTAAATTCCCTACTGTTCCTTTCCTTTCAAAGAGCAATTTATGTACTGCTTGAAATGCAACAGGTGAACAGATTCAAGTTTAAGTAATTCAACCAGGTATATTAGCAATCTCATCTTATTTCAAGCAAGTGTGTTTAAACTGTGCTGAGAGTAGTAAAGTCATGTAAGTGTCTTTATTATACAGTACAGCAGTTGACAGGTGATGAAATAATTAGATATTTAGAAATTTAGCTTCTTTTGAAGGTCTTAAAAGTTCTCTGAATATCATTTTTTCCAATTCTGGAGAAAAGGGTCAGAGGGCTGTGCAAGATTATAATTGTATAAGGTTTTGCGAAGAGGGTGGTTTTGCATTTGCTGGAAGATCTTGTGTTTAGGACAACGGCACCATCTTAAAATGAAAAAAACCTCATACATTCAAAGATGGTGTAAGGAAAATTGAACACAACATATTGGTCATAAAAATGAGCAATTGTCTCACTATTATCTTTTTTTTCATATATTCATGCTTTAAAATAAGTTTTCTAAACTGTGGAAAGAGGAAAAATGAAAGGTCTTTCTCAAAATATCATTTGTTTTCTCCCTATCTTATAACCAGGGATGGTGGATTCTTCGATGATGCCTATTATGGGTTACCTTGTTGATCTGCGCCATGTTTCAGTCTATGGAAGTGTCTATGCAATTGCAGATGTTGCATTTTGTATGGGATTTGCTTTAGGTAAGAGCTGAATTTGCTTATTGAAATGCATCTAACAGTACCAAAAGGATATTACAAAGGCCTTGGAGCAAATGCTGGCAATGCCAGCTGCCTGGTAGGCTGCAGCAATAGTGGGGTTTGTTGCATAGAATATGCAGGTGATAAGGCTGTAGAAGAAGGTAAGAAATATCCCTTTCCCATTGGCACTATTAGCTGTATCACACAGTCATGCTGTTCAGTCTCCACACTATTGGGGTAAATATCTACCCAAGTCTCTGTTAGGACAAGGCAATTGCATTGAAAACTCCATCAGCTAGACTCTCTTCTGAACTGATCAATAAGAGTGTTCTGCTTACATACAGAGATAACAGCTTCTTACAGGGATGACAAAGTTGTCACAACCTGGTCAGTAAGGAACAGCAAGAAATTAGCTAGGCTGAAGTCAAAACCCCTGACATTCCATTCATCTACATTCATTTTCTCTCCCACCTTCACACTTTCTGTTTACTCTCCAAGAGAGATGTGGCCTTAAGATCTTAGCTGGCCCAGGCCTGTTATAGGCCCAGGCCCTTGCAGACTTCAGACCCATACATTCTGCTTCCACAGATTACAGAAAAAGAGAGGACCCATGAACTGGTATTAATTTGTGGCTACTGGGGGGGGGGGGGAGGAGAATAGAGGGAAGGCAGAATGCCTTCCATTTCTGTAATTATGGGAACTGTTGTCAAGCCTCTTGCTTGGTAATGAAACAAAAGCACTGAACTAGTGGGTAGCTTTAAAATCCATGTTGAATTTGTACTATTTTCACTGGCTTTTAAAAGGCATTTAAAAAATCAATAATTTTCCAACACACAGGTTTTCAAGCATACCGTATATTTGTTAAATCTGCTCATACAGTATATTATGTTAGGACTTATTTTTTTCTTGCTCACGGATTCTTTTAGGCTAGTTCTTGTTTTTCTTATGTATGTACCCTAAGACTTTTTCTTTTTCTTTTTTTTTTTTTAAAAAAATGTGTTTCCCAAAGGTCCATCTGCTGGTGGTGCCATTGCAAAGGCAATTGGATTCCCATGGCTCATGACCATTATAGGAATCATTGACATCCTCTTCGCTCCTCTGTGTCTGTTTTTGCGCAGCCCTCCTGCCAAGGAAGAAAAAATGGTAAGCACAAACTTTTTCTCATTTCACTGTATTTGAATTCTGATATATTTTAGTACATAAGCAAATAGAGAAATGGACTATTTTGTAATGTTCTATTTCATTAGCTGAAATCAGTATTTTGTATTGAGTGGGGTAACTTGGTTTGCACAAGACAACAACAAAAAAAATTACAAGGCTGGCTTATCTTTGGAAACCAGCAGTAACAAAGTTACTATATTTTGGGTGAAGTTTGAATTAACAGTGCATGTTAGACATCTGGTTTTCTTTGATATGTGAGGCTTTGCCACATTGATGCTGGAATTCAAGTAACTGTGAAGAGTTCACATGGAAGGGTATTTGAGACTAACACCTTCTCTGAACCCTCATGCTAGCAAATTGTGTCAAAAACCTGAGGCAACTTTAGGAACAGTGGAATGTCTTGAGAACCTTCAGGCATCTGATTTCAGTGTGAGAGCCCTCAGGGTTGCTGCAGTGCATGCACAGAAGCTAGGAGATACTTGGTCCCAATTCTAAGCCATCTGTTGCTGAAAGCAATAAAATGCTTAACAGATATACTAATGCACAGCTTTGTTCTTTTGCAGGCAATACTTATGGACCATAACTGTCACTATAAAACCAAAATGTATACGCAGAACAACATCCAGTCACATCCAATAGGCGATAATGAAGAAGAATCAGAAAGTGATGAGTAATTTCTGAAAGCCATATCAAGTAGTTTAATGTATACAAGTGTTTCCTGTGGAACATCTCATCAAGACGTTTTAGTTGTACTGTACTTTTAATGGTAAAATAGTAAACAAGAAAAAGCCAAAGGTAGCTTTATTTATTGCCCTTGATTATGAAGCAGATTACCCACTGCCTTATAAAAGGAGAAGGGAAGCTTTTATAGGAGTTTGCTACAGTGTCAAGAATTTGTGCATTTCACATTATGCACTATATTTTTGATTAAATTAGTAGTGTAAATCTAAATCCAGATCTATGCCTTTAAAATGTCCATTCATTAACACTTTGCTTATTCCACCATTTTCTCTATTTGACTGATCAGCAGCAGAGAGTGCCTGAAACTAACAATGATAAATTATCTGATTGTACACTATATAAAAAAATGAAAATGTTGCATTTGTCAAATAGCTTTCCTTGAAACCATGAAATAGAATACGTAATTCCCCTAATTATATGCATTTCCCCATTATTCCTAGAGGAAAAAATCATTGAAAAATAAAATATGGAAATTGTGAGGGATACATTTAATTGAACTCCTTATTATCAGATAGTAGGCACTAAACCAAAAATGGCTGTATATTTTGCTTGCCAACACATTTGTGCAACTTAGGTGGAAAAAATCTATCTGTATAGAAATATTGATTCAGAGTGCATTATATGATTTAAATTTCAGACAAGTGTTACTAGGTGCACACCATAAATTAAATCCAAATTGTGTCAGACACTTACAGATGCATAATACTCGCAGATGGACAATCCCTCCCATATAACACAAGAGAAGACAGTTTAGACAAATATATGACACTAGAAGCAAGACTGGTCGATGTCTGAACAGTTTCACCTAGTCGATTTGAAACTTCTCAACAATTTGGATGAAATTGTTTTTTCTTTATTTTTATTTCTTAAAGCTTTATTTTGATTTTTAAGAGAGTTGCATAACACAAATGTCTCCTGGGGGACCTGTGTGTCTGCCCAAATAATATAAATCTAAGAGCTATCAATTAGGTAGTCAAATTTTCACTCTTGGCTGGCCCTCGGGCATGAGGAGACTACAGAACCACAGCCTTAGAAAGTATTCCTGCTATGGGCAGAGTAACTTGCAGCAAGGGGATTTGGAGAGACGAGGACTGTGTAGATTGCTATATGGGAGGAATGTAATATCCCTGCCTCTTCTAATTGATAGGCAACTCAGCAGTCCATTGAGCCCTACAACAGTGTTGTCCTTCATTTGGACCTGAGCTCATGAAAGGATGTGTGAAAATAGTTGTGAAAATAGAATTCCAACAAATGATAGACCATGTATCAATATCAAATATTTAGTGTCATGTACTTGTCATGCTGTTTGTAAAACATGATCTCTGTGCCTTCTTTCATTTATCAACAGATGGTTTGTGTCTTAAAGCAGACACTTTGTTTACATATTTTTGTAAGTGTATATATTGGTCAAAATTAGAGATGCTGTAGATTAATTATTGTTAATTATGCAGAAAAGTAACAACTTGGAATGTTATCATTTCTTGGAAAACCCCCAAATAAACGGTGGACAATTTGATGTTGTTTTGCTACAAGTGATGTACAGATTAGTAGAATGACTCCAACATTGTCTTCTAGGAAGAAAATAGGCTTATGATTTCATCATGCTGTTGCACTCTTGCTGTAACAGCTCTTGATATGATCATACGAGAGCTTAGGGGAAGCTGTTTCAAACCACACTTGTTCCTGCATGCTGTTTCCATATCCTTCCAAGTCAGCACCATTCCTGTAGCACAGGACAGTATAGTGACTGATAACAAGAGAGTACTCTGTTGTGTGTATTTTGCAAAGGGTGCTTCTATAGCTGTAGTTGCAACTTCTGCTGCAAAGTCACTTAAGAGTACAGGATTTGGTCATATACAAATTCAGACTGCTTGACTTAACTTACAGATAAATGTTTGTGCTTTAAACAGATTTTCACTTGCGAAAACAGAACGTCCGTCTCTGTTCCCCCTGTGGAACAGATGGGGGCACAGGGAGAGAAGATGAAGAAGCCCTATTTATTGCAGGAGCAGAATGCTGCTCAGAGTTTTGGATATAAGCCTGTTTTATTTTGTTATATAGTCCAGGGGTGGCCAACTCCCAAGAGACTGCGATCTACTCAGAGAGTTTAAAACTTGGCAGTTCAGGTCAAGCTTTTAGGGAGGAGGAAAGCCCCATTTTTTAGGGGTTCAGGTCAAAGTTGTTGAGCTTCTTTGGGGGGGGGAGCCAGTGATCTACCAGAGATGTCCAGTGATCTACCCGTTGGACATGCCTGTACACTATCAAAATGCTTCTGAATGGTTCAAATTATAAATCAAATATCCTGTGATAACTTTTCAAACATGTTTTTAAGCTTTTTCTAATGGAAACAGTACTAATGCGAATAATACATGGTTTCAGTAGAACCTTGAATAATATAATATACCTCACCCATCAGACTGGATTGCCCTAGCCACTGTGGAAGTGAGATCTATGTCATAATGTGTGTATCTGAAGTGTGCATGCACACAAAAGCTCATACCAATAACAAACTTAGTTGGTCTCTAAGGTGCTACTGGAGGGAATTTTATTTTGTTTCGACCACGGCAGACCAACACAGCTACCTGTAACTAGAACTATGTCATAATGGTTGCATTTGTTTCAATACATCTGAAAATGCTGTAGTCTGCATATTGTTTTTCTATCAGACTAAACTTCAGAAACATCCCTTCAAGTGGCGTCGGTATAACTTGGGTCAGAGGAGATGGTTAACTTTATTATTTTAAAATGAAAATTAATACTAAATCTTAAGTACTTTATGACTGAAGCTTTAATTTCATGGTAAAATGAATTTCAAAATGTTTTTTATATACCCACAAGCATTAGACAATATCCCATAGCTGTTTCACAAAAAGAGCATCATTGTGGAAATTCTCTTCTGAACACATTGCACTGCAATTTTGTACCTGTAGGCCCACATCCATATGAAGATTTGTCAGTTTTTGCATGTGAAAAAGACATTGGTCCTGTCACTTTGATACATGTTTCTGGAAGGAGGAGAAAGGCTCTGTAGTGTGCAGCTACAAAGGGATGTGTTCTTGGACTCAGGTTAAACCCACACAAAATGAAATATAGGCCCTAAAGCAACTTTCCAAGGTTGCATTGCCAGTTTCAGGATATGTGAGACTGAAACATTCCCCCCCACAAAAAATCAAAATACTGTGAAGTTTAGGTCTGCAATGCCAAAGTGCATTTAAGGAATTTATACTAATTTGATGTAGTAGATTTTTATCTATGCAGCTTTGCAACAGAATGGATCCTGATAGGCAGCCTACAATACTTTCAATCCCCTGCACTTGTTGATGCCCCCAAATGCAGGAGAAATTTAGCATGCTACCTAGAATGTATCATTGAATCCTCTGTGCGGATGTGAAAGATGTTCCTTAGCTAACAAGTCAATGGAAAGGAACAGTGAAAGCAGTCTATACCACTAGCCCATCAAGCTCAGTAGTGTCTACAGCGAGTAGAAGTGACTCTCAAGGGCTTTAGGCAGGTGCCTTTCCAACTCTATCTGGAGACGTCAGGGAGTAAAGATGGGGCCATCTGCAGACAAAGCATGTTCTCTATCACTGAGTTGTTTTCCAGGGCATCACTGAAAGGATTCACTTGAAGATAAAAACTTTGGATGTCAATCCTCTACAACATGGATAAGATAATATTTGCAGATAAGTACTGAAAATATCCTATAAATATAACAGCTTGCAACAGAGAAACTGAGAACTTATTTTAAAATTTTTATTAAAGCTTGTTTTCATGATAAAATCATGTCTGACAATCATCTTGGGCAGACTTTCTATAAATATGTGCAAGTGTCAAGTAGTTACATACCACTACATCAAGATATCCTTGCTTTCAGTGGCATTTTTATTTTCAGCTATGTACAGTAAAGCACAGAAGCAAAGAATATAATAGGAATGTATTAATACAGCTTGCCTCTCAAGATCAGTCTTTGTTATAATTATGTTTTCCCTTGCTACCATACAATTATTTTGCCACCATTCTCACGCAACATTTAGAATATTGCACTACATTTAATTTATTATACAATCATCATAGCAGAGTATTGATACCAAACTTTTCATGCCCGTTTCATTAACTGATAAACTATAAGGTATTATTTTGAAAAAAACCTAATGCCTATATTATTTTTGCAGCTGTTTTCTCAAATGAGCAAGTGTTTCAAGGCAGTACCTGGACTCAAGCGAAAAACTAATGGAGAATTATTCCAAACCACCTCAGTTGGTAAGCAACCCAGAAAATAAATTGAGAGATAAAATTTATTAAACACAATGTTGAACTCTTTTGGAGGGGTTTATTTTTTGGAAGTATCTAGTATAAGTTATGAAGCAAATTTTTTAAAAGAGCAGAACTGTACCCTTTTTTACTAGTATGGATTGTATTCTAATTTAATATTCGGCTCAGTTATGTTTTTTTAAAAGCAAAAGGTTATTCTTAAGGCCAAAAAGATGTGAAGAGGTTGTTATCACTCCTATACAAACTGAAAAGCAGATTCAACATAATAGGATATCTGATTGCTTGTCTGTCAAAATAAGAGGCTTTAGGTGTGCTAGCTTTGCCAGTTTCTACAGGTGTTTGTATATATAGCACAGGGCCTAAAATAATGATATGGAAAACAAAGCCTTATGACACATAAATGTCAACCCCCCCAAATATATTTCTTAGCAGACCAGCTGAGGCTTTTAAAAAAGAAATTTAAAAAGGTCCCCAATTTCTGTTGGGCCCAGGAACCAGTAAGGAAACTCACATGCTATATTAAAAAGCTGGGTATCTAACTAGCATTTTTCTGTTCACGATATTTTAGCATTTCATTTACCCTTTAAACATTAACACACAAAAGTCATACATTTTGTGGAAAAATCAATGCTTAGGTAAACAGAAAAAGCTACAACTCAACTTAAAAATAGGTCTTTATGCATTATAATATTACAGTGATATGTTCTATAAGGCTTCCACCTATTTTTACATTAACATATCTTTTGCTGGTACATTTCCAAGAAATTGCTATACAATATTGGTACAGCTTATGATCAGGCAAAATTGAATGTTTGTGGTCTTTAAGGAAGGAGAGAGGGGGAGATGAGCACCTACTGATAATTATTTGAGCTTTGAACTAGACATGTTTTAGAATTCTCTCCCAGCTTACAATTCTGCTAAACCCATAAAGGAAAAAGGTATTCAAGTGTCAATTAAGCTTCAAAAATCTGTGACTGAAAAAAATTATGGAAAGTAAGCATCATGATATGTAGTAACACCTTTACTAAATAACTGAAAATAAAGCCTGTGTTGGCTATGATGCATGATTGGCAAAAAAACAAAACACCCCTGCTCGGAAATAAATCAAAGAGCCAAATAATGAGACACAATCAAAATCTTCAGAACCTGGTCCCCATGGCTGTAAATTTCAGCATGCAGTTAAAAATCAAAACATTAAACTTAATAATGGAACGGAACAAAAAATAAAACAACTGTATTAGCATGAAACTTTAGAAAAAGTTCAAATAAATTAATCTTCCAGTATAAACTTCCAAAATGTTCTTTAAACACAAATTGGACCAGCTATGTCAACAAAAAACAAGAAAGGGGAACTGTACTTGTAAAGAAAACTCTAACTATACTCTTACAGAGATTTAAAAAAACACCTGTGGAAAAGCAGCTTGTATACATTTTACCAGTGTTTAATTACATTTTAATGTATCTGGTGTGGTTTTGATTAAGTGCAAAGTATTTTCCCAGTTTATCATTCTCAAGGCCAAATGTGCAACATCAATCTACTAAGTCATCAGATCTTTCAAGCTCTCCTTCTTTTAGTAGTTGTTCGAGTACTGGCTCCATTACTAGAGCACTTTCAACTTCATTATCCATTTCTTCGTCTTCATATTTATCCTCTTTTCTGGATTCCAGGTCTAAAGCTTCTATATCTTCAATGCCTGCTCTGTAGTGAATCATAAGGAGTGTTAGGGCTTGCAGTCGTTCACCTGATTTAGCCAATGCAGTAGACAATAGCATTTTTTTCCTTGTATCTGTTGTTTCTTTCTTTTCTCTTATTAAAGAATTGTTATTTTCCAGTTCCTGGTCTATTTCATACTGTAGTTTTTCCAACATAACCTCTAATTTTAGGATTCTTTCTTCTGTAGGCAAACCTCTATAAAGGTCTCGACCAATTTCTTTAACAGCAATGTAGACACTATCATCTAATCCACCTTCTTTTCTTGCTAACTTTATCCCTGTACTTGCTTGCTTGGAAGGGCTACTTGGACCACCAGTTTCTGTGTCGCTACCTTCATTATCGGAACCATGTGGCGTGTGCTTTGGCGAAGGTTCTACTACATCAGCCCCTGGCTCACTAACACGAACTTTAGGAACTTGACGAAGATTTAACAACCGGGAGCTAGTGTTGATGATATGTCTTGTTAAACCTGTTGTTCTGTTTGCAGTTTTCAATTCTGTATCGGCACGAGATGCTGGTACGCTTAGAGAATCAGGGCTATCAAATTTAAAAGTGCGAAGGTCTCGTTCAAGCCGTCTTGTGGCTCCTAAACAAAATGGGCTTTCCGTTAGACATTTTTCTTGACATTTTTTGTGACAAACGTATGCACAAACAACACACTGTGATGCTGCTTTAGTCCAAACTTTTTTTTTGCAGTAATCACACCAAGTTGGATTCTGAAACTGGGTGTCCTGAAAATTATGCTTGTTTTCAGTGTAGATAATCTGTCCAAAATAAGGATCCTCTTTGGGAAGAATGGGAGCAGATTCATCTTCTGAAATATTTTCTTTTTCTTTTTCCAGGAGAAAACTGGAGTCTTCTGGTTCACCCTCTTTTAAATATTTAAAATGTATAGTAATATCACCGTAACAAAAATTTTCATTGAAACCTTTGTGAGAAATCAAATTACGCAATGCAGTTCTAGTTACTGAAGCTTTAGGTGCAGGAGGATTTAATCTAAATTGTCTAATGAATTCCATGGAGGATGTAGCTATACAATCTAAAGCTATTTCTTCAAGTTTTATGCTTTCATATCCTAAACAGAGAAGCCCACCTAATTTGAAAGGATCCCTACACCAAACAGCAACATTTAGGTACTTGTGCTCTTTTTCTACTTCAAATATGTAGGAAGAGGTCTTTGTCCTTGTCCATTTACCTAATCGTTTGCGATAAGGAATTTCTGGTGTTTCCCATGAATTATGGTTTTCTGTAGCTGATCTAGAACTTTGTGAAGATTCTGAAGGTTCTTTTACTGTTTCTAATTTGTTTGTAACTGCTTTGTTTGTAACTGCTTTGGGACTCTGTAATGATTCTGAAGCGTCCTTCATTAATTCTGGTTTGTTTGCAGCTGGTTTGTTTGTAACTGCTTTAACATTCAGTGTGGAATCGGAAGGCTCCTTAACTGCTTCTGGTTTATTTACAACTAATTTGGATCCTGTAGGTTCTTCTTCTATATCAGTATTTTTTGTTAGCTTTACTGAATTTTTATCTCCATTACTTGCAGGAAGTGGCTGCTTCTCTGGTTTCTCAGCAGATAAGTCACCAGTTTCTAGTGTATTTTGAACTTCATTAGGAAGTGGTGTGATTTTAAACTGTGGCCTGGGTGGGACAGGAGGTTTACTTGTCTGTTTGTTTGTTTGGTGGGTTGCATCCATATTTTCAGAATTTTTTTGTACCACTTGTTTGGCTGCCTCTCTGAAAAGTGCCTTTCCAGTTGCCTGAGGACTTCCAAAATGTCCCTTGCGGCTTGGTAGCGGTGATACAGTTCCAGGTGGTTTTGCTGTAGATGACACTGTGGTATGCTTGGGACTGGTTGAAGAATCATCTCCGGGTTCATATGACTTTAATTCATTTGCCAAATCCTCAAATTGTAAATCTAGTTCTTTGTTTTCTAGATCTACTGATGTCTCCTCATCTGGAAACACTGAGTTTACAAATGGTGCAAGACTATCTTGCGGTACTGAATTCTGTTGGTTATAGCCAACAGGCCTCTCATAATGTACGATGACTCTGTCACCAGCCTGTCTGATGAGCTTTAGCACTTGTATTGTTGATGTAATTTTCACTCCTGTCAAAAAAGAGAAAAAAATCCAAGAATCAACAGTAATGAAAAAAATATATATAGCTGACTTTATAAAACATTCATGCCCTGTTTCAATGAGGACAATGGTCATACCAAACACCAGATTCTGCTGACTGGGAACTGTGTGCACAGAAAGGGCCCGACACATGGAGATCTTTGCAGCACTTTGAGCGGAATATCTTGTTTCCATGATGAACAAGACAATCAGATTTGACAGCATACATGTGAAATGGAACTCTGGCCCCTCCTAGTGGTAGGGTGATAGGCACCTGAATTCAGCTCCTTATTGATCCTAAAGGGAATTGGTACCATCAAACATGGCAGTGTGAAACACTTGGTTCAGTAGCTAACCATGTAAACCATTCCTGATTCAAGGAAGAAGACACAAGCTATTAACACAAACCAGAGCCATGGAGAATATTTTCACTATTGTCACTCCAACTGATGAAGAAATAAATATGAACTTACAAAGATAGAAATAAGTTGCTAATATACCAGAATAGCACATATAGAAAAATGTTCAGGAATCTGTTTTGTGAACTCCGAATTACTGGATATTGTTGCACAAGAACCCAAAATACTTCCTCACTTTCGGAATGGCTGGTGCCTAATCATGTGATATGGGCCAAATTATTTATATATTTTTCAGGTCTCTAGGTAATAATTTATCAATAATTATTGTTGCATCAGCCCATAGTGCCTGCAAAAACCATGATCCATGTTTAGGTGCAGCTGGAATCTACACACAGGCAATAGCCAGGGAAGTGAAACTGCGAAGCAACAGCTGCTGGGAAAAACCACCCTGTAGTTCTGCCAGGTAAGAAACATCGTGATACCATCTAGAAGATTTTAACAAAAGGTGGTTTCAGATGAACCCCATTCACATTTAAAATATTGAAGAGGGTGATGTGCTATACCTCTAATGTACCTTCCAACCTTCTAGAATGGTGCTGGGGGGCTGCAGTAAAAGCTGCCTTCCCCGCCCCCCTGCCACATGAGTGAAGTCTAGATTCAAAGTCACCCTTTGCCAAATGGACATTTGAATCTGCATTTTCCACACATACTCTAGCAGCTGCATCACACTGGTACACTACATACCAGGAACAGTGTCAGTGCCTTTTGGTTTTGATCTGCAGGCACTGGGGTAGGTAAATTTATCTTTCCAACATAGCAATTCCACGAGTCCATCAAGGAGGGATTGGGACTGAAATTAGTGGACCCTCAGATTCCAAAGTTCTATTGGGAGTGAAGTGGCAGGGCAGAAGAAAGGAAGGGAGCAGCGCCCCCCCCATCCTTCCTTCTGGTTCCTCCACCTTTTTTATGATCCCTCCCCTACTGTTTTTGAATGGTGGGGGGGGGCAGGCAAGAAATGTCATGTCCAGGACTAGCATAGTTTGTTCCATACTTCAGTTGTGAGCTGGAGAATGGGAGGGTTCCTCTGGCACATTTTCCTTGCCCCCCTTATGTCTCTACTGACCAGGGGTGCCACTTGAATAAAATATTGGGAGGGCCCAGGTAAGTTCCACCCCACATAATCAATCACATGATGCAGTGCACGCACACCATTTGAATGGCATAGCCCCCTCGGCCCCTCTAGGAGCTGGCTCCTATACTACTGACATCTGCAATACAAGGGTGCTGTAGTTTCATAATGGTTAGGAGACAGCTCACAAGATCAATATCACTCACCCAAGAGTGGGCCTCTCTCTTTTTCTCTACCCTGGAAAGAGATTCTCTAAATATCCTCTAGGATCCCATTCCAAGGATCATAGGATTGAAGTGTAAATAAACTTAAAAAAAAAATTGTATTCATGAAAAAGAAAAACACAATTGCACGTAAACAAAGAAATGTCTAATGAGTGGAGACACCATGTCTGTCTTTGAGTAGGAACAATTTAAATGTGTTTATATTGATCTTCAGATGCTTTCAGTGCAATTATGGAAGTCAGGTGTTAAGGAAGCTTTAAATCTACAGTAATGCATTACAGCAAGTACTTTCAGAGCAAGTGCAACCTAACTGTTAACAGCAAGAGGCACAAAAACATAGTTTTGGATTAGAACAAACTGTAGGTGTAACCTAGAACCACAGAACTGAAAAAGATTTTACTATGTCTGTTTTTCCAAGGGCAGGTAAAACTAACATCTTAGGGCTGACAGCCCAAAGAAAATGTAGAGAGAGAGTAGGGCTTGAGGAAAAGGACAGTTACAACTGGAAAAGAAAGCAAGAAGTGGTTATAAATAAACCTCAGGTCACTTAAGTACGGGACAGGAGTGAACAACAACAACAACAACAATATGCTACGTGTGGAAGAAGGGACTAGTACAGTATTAGGGAAGCTGGTCCAGAGAGGATAGCTAAAGATGGATCTGACATACAGTTTTATCCAAGTTGTTTTACTACTTACCTCCAATAGCTATAAGCCTATCCCCTCTCTGAAGATCAGCAGCTGCTGCAGCTGAGTTCGGTGTGATAGTTTCAATGACAACATGCCCTGTTTCACCTTCCTTAACTTGTATTTGGCGCAGAGTGAGTCCAACACTTTGTGAATTTCCTTTTATTAGTTCTGCCTGGGAAGAAAGAAATTGTAAAATTGTAAAATGAAATGACATTTAATCTGGTATCTAATAAAGATTTAATGCATAAGGTTGCTATGTTTTCTCTAGACAAATCTGTCTCACAAAATGTGGTATGTTTAAAACAGGGTTGATCAATAATGAACAATGTCATTTTCTATCCATGTTTGCAAAAATGAATGCTTTTTATCAAATAAAGTTGAATATAAACATGTTACGTGAACTATAGCATACTCCAACTCAGCAGAACACTATGTGATCCATGACTTTAATCAAGCCAGTTAACAGAAAAAGAAAACCAAATTAAGATCAGCTCTACAGATATCATATGCTGTATTCAAAACCATGTGGCAAACAATTTGCTTCTTCCAGTACAAGTAGTGCTCAGGGTCTCAAGCAGAAGTTAATCTGAAATGCTGCAAATCAACATATTTTGCATTCAAAAATCTTATTTTACTAAAGATAAAGTGATTTGAAATCTGTAGGGGATAAACTAAGCTCAAACTATTTCCCATTTCCTTTTTTCAAAAAACATCATATGGGCATCAGGGAAATACATCTGTCTCCCTTCTCAGAGGAACATTAAGTTTTTTCCAGGTACAGTCTGAAGCAAACAAAAAGCCTGCAAAACCAGGGGCAGAAAAACTTATACATTTATGGTGGACACTGACAGGTGGGAACACCCAGGTTAACTCATTTAAGATAAATCACTTAGAAGTGTACCTGCACATTTTGCTTCAGAAACTACTTTTCTAGGACTACTTTTTAAAAATAAATAAATAAAAGTTCAGTGTCTGGGCATGCCAATGAAGGCATTTGTGGGTATGATGGCACCTGGCAGCCCCCAACAGACATCTAAAACTGATTTATTAACAATATGAAACACATACCAATAAAACAGCAGCTGCAAAATGAGGCTCTCTCAACAGAAGTTATAGAAGTCATAGAGCTGGAAGGGACCCCGAGAAATCATCTAGTCCAACACCCTGCAATGAGGAATCCTGCCCACAGCTGTCCTTGGGTGGACCTGAACCACTAACCTTCTGGTTTACAGCCAGATGCACTGACCCGTTCAGCCACTTGGCACCCCCCCCCCCAAAGGCTTGGGCAAAAAGGTACATATTTTTTCCTGCTGACAAAACAAAAAAACATGCTGGAGTGTGACACACCTCAGAGGGGAGTTCATTCAACAGGTGCGGAGCCCCCACAAGGAAAAACCTTTCATGGGCCCCTACACAATGGACCTCATTAAGTGCAGTTATTACCCAGATTCCTCTAAGCAAGGGTTACAACTCCTTACTGTGGTCGTGTGGCTGCAATGGTGGCTTTTGCAGAGATCTTGGGAGAGTTCTGTGAGATCTTGCTGGAAGCTGCCATTGCATGACCCTAGTAAGCAGAGCTTTGGCAGGGGTAGAAGGGTGGGGGACACCTCAGGCAACACAAGGGGACAGGCCATCCCTGGCATATGTTTCGCATGCAGAGGGGTCAATCCCTGCCATCTAGTAAAGGAAAGCAATTAGTAGAGCTAGAAAAGTTAACTGCCTGAGAAGTTGGAGAGCCACTGACAGTTTGAGTAATACAGGGCTAGATGGACCAACGTCTGACAACTTCATATGTACAAATGCTCATATTTTCCCAACTTAGAAAACATTCTCTACTGTTAGAATATGTGATTTATATAAAAGGGGGCTTTTCTGGGCATACTTGTAATAGCTTATGTTTACCTTCGAATTGCAAAGCAGTAATTTTTCAGAACACTCAGAAATAACCAGTTTCTGTGACATGCAAGACGCAATCTCTTTAGCGATTAGCATGAATTGCCCAGGTATTCCAAGCAATGACAATTATGGAAGCAGCAGATACAAACAACTACAACAGGGCAACTAGCATTTAGGAGGACAGTGTCTGCACCATGTAAAAAGGAAGCCATTGGTTTTACATGCAATTCTGTTCCTCTTCTAAAGAAAGCAATTTAGAAAAAGATCCTAGTGTAACTCATGCTGAATGGTTATTACTCATTGACTTTTAGTTCTTGCTAAATGCAGTTGTGATGTTCTCTCAGTCCTGAAAAAATGGAAAACAATTGATTTTTCATATTTCAATTCTGACAGCCACTGATAGAAAAGATTCCTCTAATATAGCACTTGAGCATGGATCAGTTATTGCAAAATATTGTACAATCTCCCATTAACTGTCTCATAAAGTCAATTTTCAAATACTGCAAGAAAAGAGCTGGGAGGGGGGAGAGAATCAAGAGGGTTTGGGGGCCAGAAATGAGTCCCAATCTCTCCACACCATCAGCACTGCTTTTAGAAATCGCAGTTGACTTGGCAGAATAGGTGTGATTAAAATGTCTATTCTTCCAAATTTTTCATGTTTTTTCCAGGTTTTGCCCATCCATATTTCCTCCTCTTTTCTTAAAAAATGGCAATGACAGCTAATTCTATTTCTATGAATAGAAATTCTAATTCTATTCATCTAGTGGGAAAATATAGAATAAATTATAAAACATTATTTAGGCATAGATGTAAGGGAGGTTTCAGAATGCCCAATCTAGAAATTATGCAGCATTTCAAATTAAATCTCTGATCCCCTTGATTAGGGGACAATATGACATTCCATTGGTGCAGACCAAGGACCCTCCCTCTTCACCATCAGTAAGGGCATTTCATTTCCAAAAACTGTCCCAGGCTGAGTAGAGCAAGATTCAAAACTATTTCGCTTTTCAGTGCATAGCTCTAGCACAAGGTGCAAGCTAGCTCTTCTGTAAGCAGAATATACTTAACATAAAAAGAACATCTTAGGATTGCACCCCTTGTCTATGGTTTCCTAAGTACCAATAGTCTCTTCTGCTTTTCCATTTCTTTTTCCTGAGCTATAAAATGTTTCTACCTCTTTGTGTTTATTTCCCCCCAAGGACTATTGTTCAACATTACACTGTGCTGTATTTTTCACTTTTCAACAGCAGCTGACTAAACCAAATTTCAGTGCATCTCAGGGAAGCAGAATGACCCCAACAGTGCCATGTGCTGTGTGTCAGGAGTGCTTTCATCTGCTTCCCTGTAACTGCTTTGGTGGCTCATATCCTTTGACCTATATACTTTAATATCCTCTAAACACGAGTGTGGTAAAATAATTAAAAGTGAAAAGATTCTACAGTATGATGACATTTTAAACCATCTAGGATTTTTTTACCCCAATATTATAATTCTTAAGCTGAAACTAAGATAATGACATAGGTAATTTGGGGGGAGGGGGATGTTTTACTATCCCAAGTGAAATTCTAATATGCATCTGGGTAGTAAAATGTTCCAAAACAAAAGCAATGTGTTTTCTATCAGAAGAAGGGCACTTATCTGCTTCCTTGGGTTGATTTTTGTTTTAAAAACTGTGTGGTACATTTGTTACTCCAATATACTAACAGTGGCTGAGACAGAAAAAGCACCTCAGTGGCAGAAATCAATAGATTTCACAGGTTTTTGTTGTTGTTGACAGAAATAAAACTTAAAGGTTGAAATTTGGGAGCACCCTAGGTAGGTGACAACTGTGCAGATGATGATATATCAAGAGGGACTACTTAGGTGTAAAGAAAAGTATCGGTGGGGTAAATTTTAACCACAATTGGAGGGAAGAAGGTTTTTAAATAAACGAATTGTTTGACTGGCAATTTTATACTATAATTATCATTTTATTTAAATTTTATTGTGAACTGCTTTGAGCACAATGTATTTGTGAAACATATCAGTATTATTTGCACAGTATATCATGACTATTATTCCTCTGCATGCAGTAATTTGACATTTCATCTCTATATATGCAGCTGAAAACTGTCTGTGCTTTTAATACTTTTAAAAAAATGATCTTTTCTGTGAGCCTTTCAAAGAGTAGAATGTTCAGGAAATTCTGCAAGTCCTAGAGACAGAAAGAGTGCTACATTTTTGCCCTTTTTGTTCCTATTTGCAAACAAAGGGATCTATGTTACCTTATCATTTTAAGATCACTCAGTTCTGTCAATTACCATAATACATCAATAAGGCAGTTTTATTTCCTACTGAGGAAATTTGTTAGCTTTCAAATGTCAGCAGAAAATCATGAAGAGTAAACCTCTGTTTTCATCACTGAACTCTGGTGGCTCATATCCTTTGACCTATATACTTTAATATCCTCTAAACACGAGTGTGGTAAAATAATTAAAAGTGAAAAGATTCTACAGTATGATGGCATTTAAATGATTTGATAGCTTGGAAAAGTAAAGATGGAATTATGTTTCTAGGCCATTAAATCAACCAATATTGTTTTGAGTTTTATTGTACAAAAATAGGTTTAATTTATGGATTTGTTTAAATGCCACTTTCCCTTCAAGGATGATTAAATGCTTTAGCACAGAAGTAAAAATAAGGAAACAGCAATGTAAAGAAAACAAACATTTTTGGACAATCATATGCCCTAACACCTACCACTTGACAGGGGCAGAGAACAGACCCAACACTGGCCTGATTTACACAATAACAGTAAACAATGGTTTAATAAAGCACAAGTTGTCCCACAGAAGTTCAAACAAACTATGGCTTGTTTCTCCAAAGTTTGATATGTTTCTCTTTTGCCTTGTGCCTTTCTGGTTTGGTAAGCACATGATATGGGGTGGCTGAACAAACCATGGCTAAGGAGGTGTGGCAGGTCTGCAGGTTAACACAAAGTCATAGTTAAACAAAGGTTCACAAGTCAACAATAAGCTTCTGATCATGTTTTTTGACATAAAAAAATCTCACTAGTGTACAGGGTTCACACATAATAAATAATTTCTTAGCATATGTGAACCAGACCACATCAGTGTACTTCAAAAACCCTTTGGTAGGAAGAAATATGACTGGAAATGTCACTCTCAATAGTATTAGTTTGTAACACAATTGGCCAGATTCAACTAAATAGCTGCGCTAGCAGAAGCCAACACAAGATGTCTGGCTGGTACAACAAGGCTTTCCCTTGACTCCTTC